CCTGGATGAGTTCAACAATGTCAGTAAGGCCCCCATGTCCCTGGTCATGTTCCGGTTCGCCATCGAGCACATCTCCAGGATCTGCAGAGTCCTGAAGCAGGACAAAGGCCACTTGCTCCTGGTGGGCATCGGGGGCAGCGGGCGGCAGAGCGCCAGCAAGCTGTCCACGTTCATGAACTCGTACGAGCTGTACCAGATCGAGATCACCAAGAGCTACTCCAAGCTTGATTGGCGGGAGGACCTGAAGAAGATCATGCTGCAGGTCGGCGTGGCCACCAAGAGCACCGTGTTCCTTTTCGCTGACAACCAGATCAAGGACGAGTCTTTTGTGGAGGACATCAACATGCTTCTGAACACCGGCGATGTGCCCAACATCTTCCCCGCGGACGAGAAGGCGGATCTCGTGGAGAAGATGCAGACAGCGGCCCGGACGGTGGGCGAGAAGATTGAGGTGACCCCTCTGTCTATGTACAACTTCTTCATTGAGCGGGTGAAGAAGAACCTCCACATTGTCCTTGGTGAGAAGGGAGAGACTTGTGCAAGCCAAGCCTCTTCCCTCCTCAGGCCTCCACTCTGCAGCCCTCTAACGAGGCTCTCTATGCCCACCCTTGTCCGCTCCAGAACTTCCTATCCCACTGAGCCAGGATGGGGTTTTCTCATAGATTGCAAATATGACCATTGAATATTCATGCACATGCATGCATGTCCAAAAATTAAAACTCTTAAATTGCTTTGTATTAGGATGAAGACCCAAATCCTCCCCTGTGGTTTTATAAGATCCCCTGCCAGACTGTCCTCATAGCCTCCCCACTCTGGTCTCAAACCAAATGTCCCTCTATCTCTCTCCTTCAGCCACACTGACCTTCTCACTCATGTACCTGTGCACCACACTTTCTCTACCACCTGAGTCTAAATAAAAAATGAGTGACATTTGGGGTATAGACCCCAGACTTTGTGGCTGGAGGGAATGAGACAAGAGGATGCCTCTATGCCTCTGTAAGGAGTTGGGTATGAGAGCTGTGGTATGTAGATCAAATGTCTCAAATTGCAAATGGACCCTACGGTCTGGAAGGGACAATAATAGAAATGGGAGACCAGTCACTGAATTCCCATCACAGAACTTCATGAAAATATCCCATGACCCTCCCTCTCCCCACTTCCCAGGCACTCATCATGACTGTTCCACAGCAGGGAGCGTGCCCACGCACCAACGTCCTGGGTGAGACCCAAAGGGTCTGCCTGGGCCTCCGTGGGGGAAGGGGACTAACAGTCTGTTTCTCATTAGCCATGAGCCCCATTGGGGACGCCTTCCGGAACCGCCTGAGAATGTTCCCTTCGCTCATCAACTGCTGCACGATTGACTGGTTCCACTCCTGGCCCACGGATGCCCTGGAGCTGGTGGCTAACAAATTTCTGGAAGATGTGGAACTTGATGACAATATTCGGAAATCGTAAGTGTTAGCTGCATTTTAGTGCCCCAAGCATATATTCCGAATTGAAAATACAGATATTGGCTCTATTCTTGTTTTAAGGTTTCTCAATTTAGATTAAAGAGTATTATACTTTTAATCACACTTAGTTATTTAATAAATAAAACACTTTTAAGTCTCATTTAGTTATCTATTTAATAAACATTTTTAAAATCGCATTTAGTTAGCTATTTAATAAGTAAAACACTTTTAAATCGAATTCAGTTAGCTATTTAATAAATAAAACATTTTTTCTGAAAAAGAGTAAAACCGTATTGTTTGGGACTGTGCTGGAAATGTGCTGCCGCCACAGCTGTGAGAACCTGAGTGCAGAAGGCCCTCAGGTTGTTCCGTGGGAGATGCATTCCTACTGGACGTGACACGCTCTTCGCCGTCAGTTGGAACCACCTGCGTAAGCACGGTGTCACTCACGTGGAGCACACACAGCAGGAATGAAGTGAGGCAGTAAAGACAAATATGAAAGGAAGATAAGAGTTCCTGACATTCACTGTGGTAAACAGGCCCACGAGTGGAGCTCCGGGGATGAGTGACTATGAATGGGGGAGTCTACATCTCGCTCTCACATCCTGGTGGGATTTTGCGTTTTCTCCCAGGGTGAATGTAGGCAGTAAGCCCAGGAGTATTAGCAGGACCTGTGGCTTTGTTATCAATTAAAATCACATGGGCTTTTTCATAGTCATTGCAGATATTCCCTTCAAAACCATGGGAGCTTCCAGCATGCTGCCCAATGCTGCCCAATGCAGCGGTCAGCAAACGATGGCTCCTACAGGTCCAGTTTGCAGCCTGTTTTTTTGTTTTGTTTTGTTTTGTTTTGTTTTTGTTTTTTTGGGTTGTTTTGTTGTGTGTGTGTGTGTGTGTGTGTGTGTGTGTGTGTGTAAATAAATTGTATTGGAGCCATGCCCCCTTTTTCAGACACAACAGCAGAGTTAAGTAGTTGTGACAGCTAAAAAGTTTGCCGACCCCTGCTAAAGCGTATATGTGACTATAAAACAAATTTGGTTTTTAAAATATTTTGAAAAACTCTATTTCAACATAGTTGTTTTCCTGTGTGATCCTTGTTTCCCTTTCTGTATTTGCAAGCATTATTCTGCCAAGTCCCAGGCTTCATCAGGGCCCACGGTGAGACCCTGCCGGCCGGTGACCACAGAGCGGCCGGAGGTCAGGGCCACCGGGTCCCAGATCAATCGTTCATGAGAATATAAACCTCTCCAGGCCTCCCAGTGGGATCCGCGGGCCCGCCCAGGGCGCCCGCACGCCCTCGTCTGTACCCAGAGCTGTGTGGCGTCTGGCCTCACCCCCGCTCCGTCCGCAGGGTGGTCTCCATGTGCAAGTTCTTCCAGGAGAGCGTGAAGGAGCTGTCGCTGGACTTCTACAACACGCTCCGCAGGCACAACTATGTCACACCCACCTCCTACCTCGAGCTGATCCTCACCTTCAAGACCCTCCTGAACAGCAAGAGGCAGGAGGTGGACATGATCAGAAGCCGCTACCTGACCGGCCTGCAGAAGCTCGACTTCGCGGCTTCCCAGGTGAGGACGCACCGCGGGGCCCGGGCCGAAGGCCCAGGCGGTGGTGCAGGGGCTGGTGCAGGTGCCGCCTCCGGGAGGGGCTACACCCGCTCCCCGCCCCAGGGCACCTTTGCGGAGGCCTCCTCCCACCCCCAGCACACTGAGTTGTCTTTACTTGAGATTTTGGTAGTTTGTTCATCGTGGATTTGGGGCATTAATTTTGACTTAAAATATTGCAACTAAATGCTATTTACAGGGTGCTAGTTTTCTGGTGCCCCCTTGAATATTGTGCCCAGGTGAGTGCCTCTGGCCTGCCCTGCCCTGGCCCTGCCAGGGGCACTGGGCAGGACAAGGCCATGGGTAGTGGCAGGCGCTGTCCGGGGCTCCCATCCCAGCTCTCAGCCCCCTCCGGGCTCAGGCTCGTCTTCGTCGGCAGGTGACAGTCTGTGCTTTGTAGAGCTGTCACGAGGATTTGAAAAGCTGACACAAATGCCAAATGCCTGGCCTATGAATTTGTATTCATTTGTGCTTGGACAGGCCTTCTTGACCAGCTGTCTAAAGTGAGACCCACATTGAGACAGAATTTTCAGCACCAACAAAGGTCTGAGACACCGACCGTTTGCCAGTAGGTTGGCCCGTTGCTGAGCCCAGCAAATCCATGGACACTGCAGCCAGGGCAGGGAGGACTACGGGCGAGCTGGGTCCAACCGGGACCCTTTGCTTTTAGAGAGAGGATGAAGGTGCCAGGTGACCTCCCGTGAGCCCTCCGCAGGCCCAGTGCTGCATAGGGGAGCTCACCCAGAGACCCCAACACGAGAGGGGCCAGGAGCCTGGCCCACAATGCAGGCAGCCCAGTGAGTCAGTGCCCCCAGAGGCCAGGCCGGAACAGGGAGTCAGACCCGCCTGGTCCAGAGCCCGTGTCATGGCCGGCCAGGGCTCCTGCTCTCTCCCCGCGCCTCCCCGGCCTCAGCACGAGGTCACATAGGGACGCAGAACCAGGGCCAGGGGGGGGGGGGGGGGGGGGGGCTTTGGGAGTGGGGGCCCCAGCTCCGCATCGGGAACACCTGGTGCACTGAGTTGCCTGTGAAATGGCACCCCTCCCTCGGCAGCTGCCAGCTGCCCCGTCAGAGTGCCCCCACGTGTGGAGAGGGAAACGGCCTGCAAGCTCCTCCGTCCCGGCATCTCGGCACGTGCTTCCTTCACGGACTTGAAAACAATGGAGGCTTTTCTTGGCCGACTGGGAGCTTGTTTGCTTAGAGCAGCAGTTCTACCCTCCTAATGCCGCCCCTTCACACAGCTCCTCATGGGGCCGTGACCCCACCCCCCTAATGCCGCCCCTTAACACAGCTCCTCCTGGGGCAGTAACCCCACCCCCCCCAATGCCGCCCCTTAACACAGCTCCTCCTGGGGTGGTGACCCAAACCATAAAACTATTTTCGTTGCTACTTCATAACTGTAATTTTGCTGCTGTTATGAATCCTAATGTAAATCTCTGTGTTTTCCGATGGTCTTAGGCGACCCCTGTGAAAGGGTCGTTCAGCCTCCAAAGGGTCACGACCCAAGGTTGAGGACCACTGGAGTAGAGTGTCACCAGGATATGCATGGCTACAAGTTGACCCCGATCTCGGCACACACAGGAAACAATGCATAAATACACAGAACAGCAGGTCGATGTTTCTCTCCCTCTTTCTCAAGTGAATGAACAAATGGGTAAAGGAAGCAGATCCCCTGACTCGCTGTGCTCTCCCTCTCCTGTCCCAGCGTGGAAGGTGGCTCGGCCTGGGAAAGGCCTTTTGACAGGTTTTAGGTTTCTGTGTCTAGAGCTGAGCAGGTGCCCGGTGTCTGCAGTGCCTGTCTGAGCCCTGACTAAGCACGGAAAGACAGTGGCCATCCAGCCAGCCACCGGCCCGTAGAGTAAACTTCCTGCAAATACTGGTCGGAGGGTTTCAAACCTGCCCCTCAGTCACGTTCCTCACGCTCCGTCCCGTGCCAGGTGGCCGTCATGCAAGTGGAGCTGACCGCCCTACAGCCCCAGCTCATCCATACGTCCGAGGAGACAGCCAACATGATGGTGAAGATCGAGGAGGAGACCATCCAGGTCGACGCCAAGAAGCTGCTGGTGCAGGCGGATGAGAAGGAGTCCAACGCCGCCGCTGCCGTCGCTCAGGGCATCAAGGTGCAGAGGGCCGGGACGTGTGTGCATGCGTGTGCGTGTGTGCGTGTGTGTGTGCGTGTGTGTGTGTGTGTGGTCGCCTCCTGCAGATGAGAGCAGTGAGGCTTGGGAAGGTGGGCGACTGTCCCAGCAGCCAAGCCCCTGGGTGGCCGGGGTGCGGCCCTGTGAGAAGTCCCTGTCTCTCTCAGTCAGGCCCACAGGACCCAGTGTGACCGACCCTCCTCGCTGGAGCCCCTCCCTCTGCTTGGGCCAGGCTGGGCTCCTGGCTGCTCCTTAAACAGACCGGCTGGCGGCTCTGCCGAGAGTGCTCCCCCTCCAGATGGACCCTCCTCCATCACGTCTGTGCTCCCGTGTGTGGGACAGTCATGGGGGACGAATGCTGGCTGGGGCACAGACTGTTGACCTCAAGGACTCGGTTTGCGGGCCTGGGTCAGTGCTCCCTGCCCTCAGCCGTGGGGGAGCCCGGCCGGCACGGGGGGAGTGCAGGTCTCTCAGCGCTCGGAGCCGCACAGCCCCCGAGCCGGCGGCTGGGCACAGACAGGACAGGATCCGGAGTCGCCAGCATGGACCCCACGGCAGCGCAGCCCTCAGCAGACTGCACCAGGGCGCAGCCTCAGTGTGCCCGCCTGTCTCAGCATTCCCATGGCGGTTAGAAATCCCTTTGGCCATTCTTACAACCGGGGCTGGAGCCATGTGGCCTGTGTCTGGCTTCCAGGGCCAGTCGGTAACAGGCAGCTGCTCAAGGACTGGCCTTCCAGGCGGCACCCTCTAGGCCTGAGGCCTGGCCTCGCTGAGACGCCAGATCCAGCCAGCTCGGCGTCACGCAGGGAGGGTGTGCCCAGGCAGGGGCCACAGGGACACTTTTTTCTTCTGTGATCTTGGAATAATTGTGAACTTTTAAAAATCAAGAGATTTCAGGTAAAATTTCTAAAGTGTCAGCTTTTCTGAGAACAAAAGTCAAGCATCCGGGACCCCTTCCTGGCACAGCTGTCGGCGTGGACGGCGCTGCCCAGGTGTCCGGGTCAGGAGCCGGCCAGCCCCTGCCGGCGGGTCGGCTGGCCTGCCCTGGAGGCACACTCGTTTGCAGCTCCTGCAGAATCAGGCACCTCGGACTCAGGGTTTGCTCAGCTTCCTCGTCTGTAAACCAGGGAGACTCCAGGAAAACAAAGGCATGTCACATGTCCAGCACACCAGCTCGGGGCCATGTTAGCCTGTGCACGCATGCCTCAGCCAGGCCGCTGCTCTGCAGACTGAGGGAGCAGATGTCCCTGGGGCAGGAGGGGCAGAGCGTGCAGAGTGACCCACATACTCACTCCTGGTTTGGCTGGGAGGGGAGGGCAGTGCTCTGCCCTCCCCGGACTGGAGTGAGGTCTGGGGGTGAGTCGGGACGCAGGCTGTGCTGTGTGAGTCCCTGAGGCTTTGTGGGCGCCCGGTCCTTTCCTGAGCCTCCAGGCCGCAGTCCTGGCTGGTTCTCCGGGAGGGAGACGCTGGAGGGCGCCCCCCGAGGAGATGAGTTTGAGGCGCCTGAGAGGCAGGCAGCCCGAACCCAGCCTGGGCCTGAGGGAGAGCCCTCCTCTGGTCCCTGCCCGCCGTGCAGCCGCCGTGAGGGCGGGCGGCTGGTTCTCCTCCGCTCCCTCTGCACGTCCCTGCTGAGCTGGGCCATGGCCTGGCCGGGACGGCCATCCAGTTAGTTAACAGAGGGGTAGGGACACGGCTGGTTATGGGCGAGGTGTTTGAAGGTAATGGAGCTAAATAAATCATTGCTATAGGTTATGAGAGAGCGGAAAACCTAAAATAAAGAGTCCATGATACACGTCCCCATACACACACACACACACACACACACACACACACAGATGTGGGAAAGCAGGACTACCCGGGTCTGCTTGCCCATCATCATGACCTCTGTGCTCACCCTTGTCCCCTGCTGCCCGCAGGACGAGTGTGAGGGGGACCTGGCCGAGGCCATGCCAGCCCTGGAGGCCGCGCTGGCTGCGCTCGACACCCTGAACCCAGCGGACATCTCCCTGGTGAAGTCCATGCAGAACCCCCCGGGCCCCGTCAAGCTGGTCATGGAGAGCATATGTGTCATGAAGGGGATGAGACCTGAGAGGAAGCCGGACCCCAGTGGCAGCGGTAACCTCCCCAGCGCGCGTGCACACACACACACACACACACACACACACACGCACACGCACACGCACACGCCCCAGGCAGTGTGAGCAATCCCGGAGGAGCGAGGGGCCCTTGGTGTCCCCTCACCGCCTCTCCTCCCAGAAGCCAGGAGAAGGCTGGTGTCACAGGCAGCTGAGCGAAGCTCCTGCCTGCAAATCACGACAAAGCCGAAGGTCACGGAGACCCACAGGCACAGAGGTCACGGACCGGGAGGGATCCGACGGGAAGGAATTAGGAGGCGGACGGAGACAGCGACAGAGAGAGGACGGGAGTGTCAGACAGAGGGACGGGTGAGAGCAACGCTCAAGACAGACACAATGGCTGCGAGTGAGAGAGAGGGAGAGACACCAAGTCAGAGAGAGCGAGTGGGGGAAGAGAGACAGAGAGAGGAGACAGACGCTGCGGGGAAGAGGGAGGTGTGAGCTGGCAGAGGAGGATCTGAGGTGGAGCTGGGCCGAGGGAGGCAAGGCGGACGGGGAGAGTGGGAAGGCCAGGGCTCAGGGGCGGGAGGAAGTGCCGTCTGCGAGTGAGACTGGCCGCATAGATAGGTACATTCCAGTCTCCTAAAACCGGGTTCTCCGAGGCTCTTATCGAGACAGGCGCCTTGGAATGGAACCAGGCTGCAGCTTCTGCTTCCGTCGGTCAGCTCTCCCCCCCTCCCGGGTGGCGGCCAGAAGCCCGTGAGGGACACGCAGAGGAGTGGGGATGGAGAGGCGGGTGCACCAGACCGGTCTGCCAGGGCAGCGGATGCGGGTGTCCAGGGGCTGAGACAGGGAGCCGCCAGCCCGTCTCCGCTCCCGCGCACCCGGGGCGGCGGGCACCAAGAGGCTGCACCGGGCCCCCGGCGGGGCCTCGGGAGCCGAGGGATCCTCTGGTCAGCAGGGCCCCGCATGAGCTGGTGTTTTTGAACCCCTGTGTGGTTCGAAGGGGCAGCCAGGGTTGAGAAAGGTGCACGAATCATGGACAGATCCCAAAAGCCATTTCTCTTCTTGAGTCATCGGTGACCCGCCCAGGACCACGCTCGCCTTCCTGTCTCAGGTCACGCAGGTGCCACCCTGCTCCTCAGCCACAGCCGCAGCCGGACAGCGGGCCAGCGACCGAGCAAGCGCGTGGGTGTGGGCCTCCCGGGTCTGACAGGGCGGCCGCTTCCTGCCACGACCAACGCCTGCACGAGAACGCGTGGCTCTGTGCTCGCCTTAGGAACAGGACACGCTGGCCTGTTGTGCTCAATACGATGCCTCGATGCAGCTTCTTTTAAAAAAGTTAAAATGCTCACCCAAGGACTTTTTTATTGACTTGAGAGAAAGAGGAAGTGAGAGAGAAAGAGAGAGAGAGGGAAAAAACAAACATCAATGTGAGACGGAAGCATCCATCGGTTGCCCAACGGGAGATGGAACCTGCAGTCTGGGCCTGTACCCTAACCTGGACTCAAACCCTCCACCGTGGACGGCGCTCCCAGCACGCTGGTCTGGATGAGCGACAGCTGCAGGCCGTGGGCCGGAAGGCCTCCAGCCTTCCCACCAGTCAGCCCCGAAGGAGCCGCTGGGGCGAGGTCGGCTCTCACCCCCCGTCAGCGTGACAAGGGCTGGAGCACGGGGCAGGCTTCGTCCTGGCAGGCCGCAGAGGGCCTGTCTCCACCCTCCCCTTCCCTCGGGCCCCACTCATGCACGAGGAGGACGCTTTGGGTTCCAGCCAACCCACCTTCCCGACGTGAGGAATATTCCAAACGCATGCCGTGACTCTGCCCATTCCGTCTACGGCGGCAGGCGAGCACGCTCATCTCGTACCTACCACGGACGACCCGTCCCAGGCGCTGTGCCGAGACAGTAAACTGCCCCGCTGCCCTGGGGAGGGGGACGTGGCAATAAAGAGTAAGCAAAGCCCCAGCTCGCAGCAAACTCTGCAGAAGGAGTGGGCACTCCAGCAGCTGAGGTGCAGGGCAGTGCTGGGCGGGTGCAGGGCTGCCGGGGGGTCATCTAGGGAAGCCCTTCTGTGAAGCCAGGAGGGTGCTTTCTAAAATGCCGCAGTCTGCTCCGGGGCCAGCTGCCGGCGGGCGCACTCCCGCAGGAAGCATCGGACAGCGGGGCGGGCAGGAAGGCCTTCGTGACCGCCGTCCAGCAAGGCAGCGATGGGAGGTGGGGCCCTGGGCCGTGAGGAGCTTCGGCTTTCCTCCTTTTATGTAGATTTTGTACCTTTAAAGCAGCTTTAAGGTACATCAAAGAGGCTTCCCAAACCCCCTGCCCTCACCACGCACAGCCTCTTCCATCCGTTACCCACTCCCGGGCCTCAGCGAGCCGCGGTCCACCCGGAGCCCATGCTTCACACGGCCAGCGCCCTGGGCGGGCACATTCCATGGTTTGGACAAATACGTAAGGACGGGCCCGTCATATGGCATCACGCAGAGTACGTTCTCTGCCCTTAAACTCCTCTGGAGGATTTGAATTTTTTTGCTAGATCCGAGGATCCCTCACTGCAAAACTTTAAGTCTCAGCCAGAAATCTTAATGATAGCCCTAACCAGAAGGGTTCCGGGTTCGATTCCCGTCAAGGGCATGTACCTTGGTTGCGGGCACATCCCCAGTGGGGGGCGTGCAGGAGGCAGCTGATCGATGTTTCTCTCTCATTGACATTTCTAACTCTCTATCCCTGTCCCTTCCTCTCTGTAAAGAATCAATAAGATATAAATAACTAAAAATAAATAAATAAGGGATTTATGTGACTAGATCACACCCACACAAATAATCATTCTATTAAAAAAAAGAAGAAGGAGAAGAAGCAGAAAGAAAGAAAAGAAAAAAAATCTTAATGATAATCTTATCCCTTTGCTCGTCTCACAGGCAAAATGATAGAAGATTACTGGGGGGTCTCAAGAAAGATCCTGGGAGACCTGAAGTTCCTGGAGAGCCTCAAGACCTATGACAAAGACAACATCCCCGGCCCGGTCATGAGGCGGATCCGGGAGAGGTTCATCGACCACCCGGACTTCCAGCCGGCCGTCATCAAAAACGTGTCCTCCGCCTGCGAGGGGCTGTGCAAGTGGGTGAGGGCCATGGAGGTGTACGACCGCGTGGCCAAGGTGGTGGCTCCCAAGCGGGAGCGGCTGAGGGAGGCGGAGGGGAAGCTGGACATCCAGATGCAGAAGCTGAACCTGAAGCGGGAGGAGCTGAAGCTGGTGGAGGACCGCCTGCAGGCCCTGAACGACGAGTTTGAGGAGATGAACACCAAGAAGATGACCTTGGAAGAAAACATTGAGATCTGCTCCCAGAAGCTTGTCAGGGCGGAAAAGCTCATCAGCGGGCTTGGCGGGGAGAAGGACCGATGGAAAGAGGCTGCCCGGCAGCTGGGGATCCGCTACACGAATCTGACCGGGGATGTGCTGGTGTCCGCGGGGACCGTGGCCTACCTGGGGGCCTTCACCGTGGACTACCGGGCCAAGTGCCAGCAGCAGTGGCTGGCTCAGTGCAGAGACAAGGCCATCCCCGGCTCCCGTGACTTCAGTCTCAGCAACACGCTTGGGGACCCCATAAAAACCCGCGCCTGGAAGATCGCCGGGCTGCCCGTCGACTCCTTCTCCATCGACAACGGCATCATCGTGTCCAACTCCAGACGCTGGGCCCTGATGATCGACCCTCAAGGGCAGGCCAACAAGTGGATCAAGAACATGGAGAAAGCGAACAAGCTGGCCGTCACCAAGTTCTCGGACAGCAACTACGTGAGGACGCTGGAGAACGCCCTGCAGCTCGGCACCCCCGTGCTGCTGGAGAACGTAGGGGCGGAGCTGGACGCCTTCATCGAGCCCATCCTGCTCAAGTCCACCTTCCGGCAGCAGGGCGTGGAGTACATGCGGCTGGGCGAGAACATCATCGAGTACTCCAGGGACTTCAAGCTGTACATCACGACCCGCTGGCGGAACCCGCACTACCTGCCCGAGATCGCCGTGAAAGTCTGCCTCCTCAACTTCATGATCACCCCCCTGGGCCTCCAAGACCAGCTGCTGGGCATTGTGGCTGCCAAGGAGAAGCCGGAGCTGGAAGAGAAAAAGAACAAGCTGATTTTGGAGAGCGCTAGGAACAAGAAGCAGTTAAAGGAGATCGAGGACAGGATCCTCGAGGTCCTCTCTTTGTCGGAGGGCAACATCCTGGAGGACGAGACCGCCATCAAGGTCCTGTCTTCCTCCAAGGAGCTGTCTGAGGAGATCTCCGAGAAGCAGGAGATTGCGACGGTGACGGAGATGCAGATTGACCAGACCCGGATGGGCTACAAGCCCGTGGCCGTCCACTCTGCCACCATCTTCTTCTGCATCTCCGACCTGGCCAACATCGAGCCCATGTACCAGTACTCCCTGACCTGGTTCATCAGCCTCTACACGCAGTCGCTGGCACACAGCAAGAAGAGCGACAACCTGGAGCTGCGCATCGAGCACATCATCCAGTACTTCACCTTCAGCATCTACAACAACGTGTGCCGCTCGCTGTTCGAGAAGGACAAGCTGGTCTTCTCCCTCCTCCTGACCATCGGCATCCTGAAGGAGAAGAGGCTCATCAGCGAGGAGATCTGGTACTTCCTTCTGACCGGGGGCGTCGCCCTGGACAACCCCTTCCCCAACCCGGCGCCTGAATGGCTGTCTGAGAAAGCGTGGGCCGAAGCGGTCCGTGCGTCCGCGTTGCCGGGGCTGAAGGGCCTGATGGAGCATTTGGAAGAGAACGCGGACAGCTGGAAGCACATCTATGACTCGGCGTCCCCGCACCAGGAGAAGTTCCCTGGCATCTGGAAGTTCGTCCACGGGCTGGAGAGGATGGTGATCCTCCGCTGTCTGCGGCCCGACAAGATGATCCCCGCCACCCGGGAGTTCATCGCCGAGCACATGGGCCACGTGTTCACGGAAGGCCCCACGTTCGACCTGCAGGGATCCTACAGCGACTCCAGCTGCTGCACACCCCTGATCTTCGTGCTGTCTCCCGGCGCAGACCCCATGGCAGGTAAGGGCGGATGTGGTATGAGGAACACAAAGAGCCCACAATGTGAGTGGATGGCAGTAGCACGCCCCTTTGGCAGGCGCCTCAATCAGAGGGCTCTGAAGGCGGACAGAGAACGGCCGGGGGACAAGGCGACCGCAGGCTCCTTTCCGTAAAGGGCGGGCTGTGCTCCCCTGCTGTGCTCTCTGGGGACGGGAGCCAGATCTTCTGACTTTTTCAAGAGAAACAAGAGATGCAAAAGCCCTCGTTTCTACATCTCCATCTCGTTCAGATGTTGTCTTAGAAACGGTGCGAGGGCCACGCTGTGGCTAGATTAAGCCTGGCTGCTGATGGGCACCTCTGTTTTGAACCATTTCTTCTGGCTATCTCTTCTCTCAGCTGAGCTTTCCTCTTTTAATTTAACTTTTTGAATAATTAATACTGAGTCGTGATTAAAAATAACCAAACAATGCCATAAGGTGTAGAAGTGTGGCTCCACCAGGGACATTGACAAAGTGGCAAACAGTTTTGTGGTCACAACTAAGGGTGCTGCTGGCTCTGGCAGGTCTGGACACCCCGCAGTGCACAGGCTCGGCACGGGCTGGGCTGGCCAGCGGGGCGGGAGCGGAGCTGCGGCAGAGAGCTGCCTCTGCCTCCTGGTGCTCCGGGAGTGACCACATCCCGGCTGTGTTCTCCAGGAGTCACTGTGCTCATTGAAGGGAGGGAGTTGTTGACGGGAATTAGTTCCTGTTTTCTGGGGGATCGCACCGCTGCCAAATAAAGGATGAGTGTCAGGAACGCAAATGGCAAGGCTGGCGCGTGGGGCGAAGGCGGGGTGACCCGCTCTGATCTGCGGGAGCAGCGCCTGCCCGGGGCGGGGGGGGGGGGGGGGGGCACTCAGAGGAGGAGCCGGGCCTGGGCTGTCACAGCCAGCACCAAAGACGGGGCCTCCGGCCGGCAGCAGACGTGGTGCCTGAGAGCATGGAGGACAGAGCCACGCTCAGGGCATGGGCGCCTGCTGGTGGCCTGCTTCCTGTGTCTGCGGGTCTTCTCTCTGGTGACCTCCTCCCTCCATGTGAGGGCACCGGGCATGGCAGGGAGGGCACCCTCGTGACCTCACCCGCTGTGACGACCTGTCTCCAGGCACAGCCCAGGCCGGGAGTCAGGAAGGCAGACAGGCCCCAGCGGAGCCCGTGGGACCTCGCGCACAACTCTCTCTGTGGCTGCGTGTCGCCCGGTGTGGGGGGAGGCGGGTTGCTACTGTGCGTGTTCCGTGGAGCCTCTCCTCCCGGTTTCAGACGGCCCCGCCTGGTGGTGTGTGTGACCAGCGGCGGTGCCCGGTGCCCGGTGCCCCTCCGGCTGGCTGTGTGCGGTTCTCAGCGCGGGCCGGGCCACAAGGCACGGGCCTGCCTGTGCCGTTGGCCGTGCTTGGGTTTCTCACTGGAGAGTTTGTATTTTCCATCCAGGCGAAGGACAGGGCCAGCCCCCATGGTGGGCTGGAGTCAGCAACCAGACTTCCGGCTCCACTCCCTTGAAGGCCCAGCCCTTATTTACTTAATTTATTTTTTTAAAAAGCCTCAGTTCCAGCACCTACCTCTTTTGAGAGCAGAGCTGTGCCCCTCCCCCTTGCACAAACACCAGCTTCGGGCCTGGGTAAAGGAATTGTGGTATTTTCCAAGGTGAAAACCATGGAGCCGTAAGAAAGAGGAAGGCCTTGGTAAATGGGCTGACCAGAGAAAAGTCTGAGTGAAGGAAGCAAATATGGTGTTATACAAACTGTGTGAGGATAGTGACTGTGTGTGAGGATAGTGGCTGTGTGTGAGGATAGTGGCTGTGTGTGAGGATAGTGGCTGTGTGTGAGGATAGTCGCTGTGTGTGAGGATAGTGGCTGTGTGTGAGGATAGTCGCTGTGTGTGAGGATAATCGCTGTAAGTGAGGATAGTCGATCTGTGCGGATAATCGTATTGTGTGTGATTTAAGCGCATAAATATCTCCAGGAGGATTTACAAAGCTTCGCAGCATTGTTGCCTCTGGGGGAGGGACGTGAGAGAGACTCCCTGAACTCTGCTGCACAGGCACTGCTTTGCCTGGAAAATACATTTCTGAAGTCCCAGCTCCTCCTCTGGCTCTGTGCTCACCTCTAGCTTTGATTTCTGTCTTTATTTTTGGTACGTGGGAATTTCTCTTTCCCTCAAACTCTGATTTTTTCAGTTTCTGTAATTTGTAAAAATCAAGAATGTCTGTATATTCAGAGCGAAAGAGGAACCAATAGTATCTTTGCTCTCCATCTTAACAGAAGTCTAAAACTTCCCCAGAGACCTGCTGGTTGGTAATGGCCAGAGCCAGTGAGGGTCCTGGAGCCCAGAACGGCAATTGGCCCTCCCGTGACAGTATGTTAACATGGACTCCGCTGGCTCGTTCTCTTTTAAAAGCCCTTTTTCTCCCCCCCGCCCCCAAGTCCTGCTGAAGTTCGCTGAAGATCTTGGCATGGGAGGCAACAAAACCCAGATCATCTCCCTCGGCCAAGGCCAAGGCCCTATTGCAGCCAAAATGATCAACCTGGCTATCAAAGACGGGACCTGGGTGGTGCTGCAGAACTGCCACCTGGCCACAAGCTGGATGCCGGAGCTGGAGAAGATCTGCGAGGAGGTGATTGTCCCCGAGAACACCAAGGCCAGCTTCAGGTGAGCCCCCAGCACCGCCCCCCCCAATTCGGCCTCCTACACTGCCCCCCGCATCGCCTCACACACTGCCACTGGGGCGGGCAGGCCAAGGTGACAGGCATGAGTCTGCCTGTAGGGGGCTCGTCCTGCAGAAGGCAGCCTGAGGGGAGCGGTGTTCATGCTCTAAGGGCCCCGGGACACGGAGGGGGAGGGAGCGTCAGGAGGCCTGGAGGACTGATGTTGCCCGGGGTTTTGAAAGATGACTACGAGTTTGCCGGGAAGGACATACCAGGCAGAGGGGACGGCATGTGTAAACACACAGCTGCTTGCTGAGGAAGCACCGAGAAGCTATTCGGACTCAGGCACGTGCCATGAGACGCTGTTGAGGGGAAGCGATAGAAAATGTATATTCAACATCAGCAAATCTGATTCTTAGAAATTGTCTTTAAAAACATCTCCCCTATAGTCGAGGCCTGTTTCTCGGGCGCCATGACACACACAGCAACTGTGCGAGGTGTATGACCTACAGCCCGGCAGCAGGCTTCGCTGGCATTTGCAGAGTGAGGTGGTGAGCCGGACAGACTGCACAGCCCCTCCAGCTCAGAGCAGAGCCTCCGTCCAGCAGGGCAGCCAGAGGGCAGCCACGCCAGGCTGCTGCTTGGTGGTGTCAGTGTGCCAGCTAAGAACAGCTTCCACATTTCTTAATGGATGAAAAATCAAAAGAAGAAGATGACTTCATGACACATGACAATGCTATGAAATTAAAATGTCATCGTCGAAAAAAAAAGAGAGGAGGATCCAAGATGGCTGCACAGGTAAACACCTAGCCGCAGCCTCACACAACAATTTCAATAAAAAAAACAACTAAAATATAAAATGGCCATCACCCAGAACTACAGGAAAGTCGACTGACTGGAAATTCTACAATGAGAAGCAAGGAGAAAACCAGAAGGAAGCACGGAGGAGCTGTAAAAGCCTAAGGTACGGAGACACACGGCGCGCGCGGAGAGGAAGAAGCCGGAGAGGAGGGGAGGCTGAGTGCACAACTGGCATTCCCTAGCAGGAAGGAGACAAAGCTCCAGACTATGCTGAGCTTCAGTTCTGACTTCTCTGAATCCCAGTTCTAGGCCAGACCCCGGGGACCCATGCTCATCCAGAGGGAGCTGGGCTATAAGGCAGAACCCTGGGGGAGCGGCGAAAGGCAGAGCCCCTGGAGGTGCGCACATTGTGCTCAGAGATTGCCCTGGCGGGAAGGAGACTGGGGCTCCAGACTCTCTGAACCGCACTTCCAACCCCATTTTCAACTGAACTGAACCCCAATTCCGGGCTCATTGGGGGAGAGACTAGACTATTTGGTAGCAGGCGAAACTCGAGGGCACCTCACCCTCAGAGGTGCTTGCAGCAAGTAGTGAAGGATCCTGAGGAAGACTGAGACTCAGGAGCCACATAGGGCATGGCTAACAGAAGCCAAGGCTGTAGGCTACACCTTGAAACTCCGCCCCATCAGGGAAGCTGTGAAAATGCCCAAACAAGGAAATAGATCACAAACGAAAGAAATGGAGGACAAAAAGCGGCTGGATATAGAGTTCAAAACTACGCTTATAAGGTTTTTCAAGAATTTCCTAGAAAAGATCGATAAGACCTATGAGGATATGAAAAGGGATCAACAAGAAAAAATAAGGGGTCAACAAGAAATAATAAGGGATCAACAAGAAATAAAGAATACATTGTCTAAAATAAAAAATATTATACAGAGTCCTAAAAACAGAATGGAAGATCGCAAGAATCAAGTCAAAGATTTGGAACATAAAGAGCCAGAAGACACTTCTCCGCAGAAGCAAGAAGGCAAGAGAATCCAGAAAGTTTAAGATAATGTAAGAAAACTCTGAGACAACTTCAAGCGAACCAACATCAGAATTATGGGGGTCCCAGAAGATGAGAGAGAGCAAGATATCAAAAACATACTGAAAGAAATAGTGACAGGAAACTTCCCCCACCTGGTGAAAGAATTAGACTTACAAGTCCAGGAAGCTCACAGAACTTCAAACAAAAGGAATCCAAAGAAGACCACACCAAGACAAATTATAATTAAAATCCCAAGAGCAAAAGACAAAGAGAGAATATTGAAAGCAGCAAGAGCAAAGCAGGTAGTTACCTATAAAGGAGCACCTATACGCTCCTTTATAGGTAACTACCTGCTTTGCTTTTTGCACCTATACAATTGTCAGCTGATTTCTCAACAGAAACCATGCAGGCCAGACAGGAATGGCAAGAAATATTTAAAGTGATGAATAGCTAGAACCTACAGCCAAAGATATCACTCAGAATCGAAGGCCAGATAAATAGCTTCACCAATAAAAATTTAAAAAAAGCTAAAGGAGTTCATCACCACTAAACCAGAATTATATAAATTGCTGAAGGGGGTTCTTTTGGAAGAGAAAGTAAATAAAGAAAAAAACTATGAACAACAAATATGTAACTATCAACAAGTAAATCTAAAAACCAAAATATTTTTTTAATCTGATGAACAATATTAACTGTTGAATAGAATATAATGGAATCAGAGGTATGGAAGGGTGTGAACTGGCGATTCTCAGGGGAAAGGGGAGATGGGGATGTGGGAAGAGACTGAACATAAACTGTGCACCTATGGATGAGAACAATGATGGGTGGGGAAAGAGCAGAGGGTGGGGTGGGAACCTGGTGGAGGGGAGCAACAGAGGGGTGGGTGGAAGAGGAACATCTGTAATAATATGAACAATAAAGATTTTTTAAAAATAATAAAATAAAATAAAATAAAAAATGTCATCATCAATCAGTAAAGTCTTGTTGACATACAGCCATGCTCACTTACGTGTTACCAAGAATGGCTGACGCTGCAGGCCATGTGGCCACGGCCGCCTGCCTCAGAGCACTCACTGCTCCATCCTTCACCGGGGCTTTGCCAGCTGTTCTGCCCCAGAGCTCGGTGGATGCTTTCATTTTAGGCCTGTCTGCCTGAAAGTAGGAAGGTATTTGGTGTTAATTACAAAGCCAGACCAGGCCATCATTGATTCTGTTCACATAGACTCAGGTAGGACTCAAGTGGGATCCACTATTTCAGGAATTCTTTCTGATTTGGGATGACGGGTTGATTCATTGACCGTTAACGACACACTAAATGAAGAAAAGATCACTCAGTACGGCCCTCTGTACTCTGTTCCTAATCCAAAAGCCAGGAGCTAAGCACCCACGGGAGCCAGGACTGCCACAGGGACAAGTGAGGAGGACTGGGCACTGGAATGCCACTTCCCACGGGACGGCAGCCGTCATCCTGGGGGTGCCTCAGGCGCACAGCGGGAGCGGCGGGGACGGACGGAGAAGCCTCCCGAGGGTGCGCCCTGCCAGAACCGCCATGCAGGAGCGCAAGCCGCTGGTGACCGAGAGTTGCCGTTATTGCGAAGGGAAGATAGGGACCTAGAATCCTAACAGAAAGCCTACATTTTAAAGTGGGCAATTACCAAAAGCACGTTACAGCATTGGCCTGGGTTTCCGGCCTGAGCCAGCATCCCCCATCTGCAGACGATGGCAGGCCTCAGGCACCAGGGATAGCTTCTTCCCGCCTTCCCTTCCCGGCCTGGATCCCCAGGCCCTGCTCCTCCCGGCCTCCCTTCTCGTGGCTGCTCAGCTGTGTCCTGTGTTCCCAGTGGCCTTCAGTCCCCAGAGCACCGGTTGGTAACCTCTCTGAAGTCCAGCGGAGCAAACACACAAAACCTGCAACATGAAACCAGACGGAGCCATGGAGCTAAGAAGGACACGGGCGCAGGAAAGCGGAGGACGGTGCCGGAGGGCTAGTCTGCTGCGGTGCATGCTCCTCTTTTTGCTTCCCCGCAAGTGTGCTCCTGCTGTGTGGGCACAGAGAAGCTTGTGGATTTTGAAGGCAGAAGCCTTCCATGGCCGCAGGGCCCAATGCCCTCCGTGCCCACGGTCAGCAGGCCTTCTCAGAAAGGGCAAGAGAGTAACTATTTTAGACTTTGAGGCCACGTGGTCTCTGTAGCAACCAGTCAACTGCTTGAAAGCAGCTGTAAGCAAGTCATATGCAAACGAGGGCAGAGCCAGGGCCCAGGCTTTCACTTACAAAGCAGGCTGAGCTGAGTTCCACCCAGCCCTGGTTTACAGACTCCTCTCCCCACAGAAACCTCTCTGCCCCTCGGTCTGGGTGCTGGGATGCATTTACTGGCATCACTTTGCTTGCCTTTTCTCCCCGCCTGCCTGCCCCTTCCCTCTCTCACAGCCAGGCTCTGCGCAGCTGGGAGCCGGCTCCCTGCCTCTCCAGGGCGCAGGCTGTAGGCCGCTGTCCTGCAGGGGCGGGGCCTGGACTGAGCAAGCGGCTTGCACCCCGGCCGGCTAGGAGGTGTGCACTTGAACAGCCACTCGGCACCTCCACGCTCCCATGTCCTCCCCGGTCCGAGGGGTCACAAACCCCACCGAGTGGCGGAGGGACGCTGGCGCTCAGCCTGGGCGGGTGGGGCTCGTGGCCCTTGCTGCAGGTTCTCCGTTTCAGTGGCCGTGCCGCTCAGTCGCCGGCTCTGCTGTCCCTCCAGGCTCTGGCTGACCAGCTACCCGTCGGAGAAGTTCCCGGTCAGCATCCTCCAGAACAGCATCAAGATGACCAACGAGCCGCCCAAGGGGCTGCGGGCCAACCTGCTGCGCTCCTACCTCAACGACCCCGTCTCCGACCCCGCCTTCTTCCAGAGCTGCGCCAAGGCCGAGATGTGGCAGAAGCTGCTGTTCGGGCTCTGCTTCTTCCACGCCATCGTGCAGGAGCGCCGCAGCTTCGGGCCCCTAGGTGGAGAGCGGGGCGGCGGGCGGCGGGGCCGGCGCCGGGAGAGCCCTCCCAGCCTCGGACACGCGTGTGCCGGCAGGCTGTGGTCATTGGGACTGTAACCTGCCGAGGCCGGTGTTCTCATCTAGTAACCCGCAGCCCCGGCCAGGTCGGCGCAGGCGCAGGAGAGGGGCTGCTGGAGCCCATGGTGGGGAGAGAACCGCAGGCCCTGTGGGTGGCCCATCTGGCACAGCGGCACTGTCCACGGGGCGCCGGGCAGGTTGGAGCATGTAGGTGCTCTTCCCACGGGCTGCCATGGAAGGAATCGGCTGGACATTTGTCTGCGCTTGTCAAACACAAAGTGATGTGTTCATGAATGTGCCCAGCCACGGCCACTTAACCACTCCCGGCAGATCCCGGAAGGGCAGAGCGGCACAGACAGCCGCCCGTCCCAGGCTGCGGGGGCCTCTCCACCAGCCGCTGGTTCTGCTCGGCAGCCCCCATGGCCCTGCAGGGCACTCCCCGATCCTCCCGAGAGCAGGGGCCAGCGTCTCTGGTGCCCTCCTAGCACCTCGCTCCTTCCTCTGCCCCCCTCCCCCGCTGCACGCCACGGCCTCCGCAGCCACCCCCTGCAGGCTCCCCAGTCCGGGCACCTCCCTGGCTAGCAGCCAAGGACGGGTGCCAGCCATGAGCTCGACGCTGCGTTTTATCATTTTAATGTGAGGGTGGCCTTTGGGGAGATGGGCACAGGCCGCATGGACCATCTGACACCAGGCTGGCTCGCCTCCGGTTCTGGTGTGGCCCCGGCATTTCTCCGCAAACCGGGCTCAGGGCGCTGCTCCCATGGGAGGGAGTGCCAGCAGCTGGCTCCTCACTGATAGATTAAATAGAGAAGGTAGACCGAAGACTGGATGGCAGGACACACACAGGCTTTATTGGAGGGAAGAGTACCTCTGCCAGCTGCTTCCACAGAGAGGGATGGAAGAGAGCGAGGGCCGGGGTACAAGCACCTTTAAGGATAGGGGCGGGACTTAGGGCACTCAGCACACGCTGATTGGTGATTAGGGACCTAGGGACTTAGGAATCAGGGGCTTAGGGTAATTAGCAGGTGCTGATTGGTTCAGAGCTCAGGAATGTCTGGCCGCAGGTGGGGTTTACATCTGTCCATCAACTGGCAGAAGGGAGAATCTATCATCCCAGGCTTCTGGTAATACTTTAAAAAACTGAGAGTCCGGGCAAGGTCAGTGGGCGAAGGTCAGTCTTCCGTAGCTACTTCCAGCTGAGAGGGGGCGTCATCTTTTTAGGGGCATATACCTGGGGCCTCCAAGATTCTGAATTCTGTTCGGTTCTGAATTCCGTGCCAGATAGATCTCTCCCACCTTCTGGTTGGCGAACGCCTGCATTCTGTTCTGCACTAAACTAGTGAAACAACATATGAGACATGGGCCAAAGAGCAAGATTAAGAGTATAGTAGATACCAGTAGGCCTAATAGTGGGAGGAGCCATGGGGTACGTGAGCAAAACACAGGTAGTGTTTCCGTGCTGGACGAAGGGTGCAGCAGCATGATTTCCCCAAGGGACTGGTTGGTGACGTCCTGAGAGCGATCCTGTTGAGAGCGATCCTGTTGAGTCACTTGGGAGGTAAAAGCTGGTCCTGAGGCTGCCATCGCATCACTTGTCTGATTTTGCTGCCTTTCTGGGCCTGGAGCTGAAAGACAACCTGGGGGGTAGGATTCTTCGGGAGGTAAAAAGGTGGGGCTCCTTCCGGCTAGGAGCTGCGAATTTCTAGAGAGGAAGAGTTTAGTTAGATGGTCTTTAAGGAGGCCGGTGCTCCTCTGGATCTTACCCGATGAATGTGGGTGGGAGGGTGTGCGCAGTTTCCAGGAGACGCCAGAGATGATGTGTGTTATCAAAGTCTCAGCCACAGCCTCAGCAGTTTCCTTGCGGTAGGGAAGGCCTCTGCCCACCCTGTCAGGGTGTCTACCATGGTGAGCAGATATTGGGTTTTCTTGTGGGGAGGCATGTGGGTGAAGTCTACCTGCCAGTCCTGCCTTGGGAGGTGTCCCCTCATTTGATGGGAAGGAAAGTTGGGGTGCATTCCTCCCTGGAATGAGGCAGCTGCACACGTGGAGCAGGAGGAGCGGGTACTCGTGACTGCCTCTCGCAGTGTGAGCGAGGTGAAGAGGGATGAAGGCCATCTCCAGGGTCCGCTCCGGTGTTACAATCGCGTAGGAGGCTTTCTGATGTTTCTGGGGGTCTAGACACAAGCTCTCACCCACAAACAGAGTTAAATCAGGATTAGAGTGAGGAATCTGAGAGTCCCACCTGTGATCTCAGGGCAGGAGTGCTTTGCTGCCGTTTGGGTGGAGGCAGCAGGCAGGAGAGTGGCTGGGTTCAGGGCTGGGGACTGGGTTAGGGAGCTGTCAGGACTCTTGAGGAACAGGAGTTGGAGTTCCTACATGCAAGAGGGGGCAAGGAGAGAGACAAGGATCGGTGCGACAGAAGATCCTGTAGCCTATGGGTGGAGAAGACCTGTAAGGGTTGCTGGAGGCAGATCTTCTGGGCCTCCTTGATGCGAACAGCAGCTGCAGTCAGAGCCCAGAGGCAAGGCTACAGTCCCCAAACTGTGGGATCAAGCTGTCAGGACAGTAGGCTATGGGGGTGAAGGCTGGCCCTAGGGGCTGGGTGAGGAACCCCATGGAGAGAGAGAGAGACACCAGAGGGGTGTCCCAGAGTTAGAGAAAGCTTGGCGAACGAAGGAAGGTGAGGAGACCTGGTATAAGGGCTTTTAATGATGGAGGCCAGCTGTATGCCTCTGATGTGTAGTGCTGGGTTCTAACAAGCATTCTGGAGGTCTCTGGGTAAGGCATGGCCAACCTGATGACTGTCTCTGAACCCCTGGAGCAGGATTGTCCAGGGGAGTGGGAGACAGATCTGGAGCTGAAAGATAACTGAGACCTAGATGTTATTTTTAGGGGGAAAGAGTAGGGGTCTTAATTGCCTCATGAGTGATATGAAAGGGGAGAATGGGTTACCATTGGAAATAGGTTCTTATTTTTCCAGTTTTGCCCCTTGCTGGGCATCCACATATTTCTTGTAGTTCCTGAGACAGGGTTTCAAAGTAGGTAGAGAGTAGTTAAGCTCTCTATGGCAGTTCCAACTCCTGCTGTGATGTCAAAGGTTAGAAGCAGAGGGACAATCTGGACTCTCTTTTGTGTCAGATATGATGTATAGGGGGACAGGTAAAGACTGATTATTGAGGCTGCATCTACATGGGGTGAGAGATAGATGAGAGTACAGGTTCCTGTCCAGCTGATGGGGAGACAGATGTATGAGTTTTCCCCACAGAGGAAGAAAAATCCCTGATGATGGAGATAAGCTGAAAGGTGTAGGGAGAAGAGGTGGACTAAAGAGTCCACACTCCAAGCTGAGAGAGTAGTCACCATGGTGCTACCAGTAAGAGGTGACAGCTGAGTGACTGAGACTGTGTTGCAGTGAAAGTGGGAGGGAAAGGGGAAGGAAAGGAGTAGTGAAAGCCAAGAAAAGGTCCCAAGCTCGTCACCCCGAAACCTTTCCCATGGAGTAGAACAGAGTTTTCCTGGCCAGGCGCCTGGGCTTTCGTAGAAGGTAGAACGTGAATGTAGAATGTAAAATGCAAAGCTGGTTAGACAAGAAAACTCTGAGGCCCTTCCAGGTCAAGGGAACCGGGGTGAGAGGGAAAGGAGATCCCTGAGGCCTACTGGTAAGGAAGTGACAAGATTCCCACTTGTCCTGGTTTGGCAGGGTTCCAGAGGTGTTCTGAACGGGCCAATCAACGCAGGTCCATGCCACCGAGCATAGCCAGAGGATTTACCACGTTCATCCGAGTCTGAGGCACCATCATGATAGATTAAATAGAGAAGGTAGACCAGAGACCTGAATGGCAGGATACACAGGCTTTATTGGAGGGAAGGGTACCCTGCCGGCTGCTTCCACAGAGAGAGGGGTGGAAGAGAGCTAGGGCTGGGGTACAAGCACCTTTAAGGATAGGGGCGGGGCTTAGGGCACTCAGCACACGCTGATTGGTGATTAGGGACCTAGGGACTTAGGAATCAGGGGCTTAGGGTAATTGGCAGGTGCTGATTGGTGGTTCAGTGCTCAGGAATGTCTGGCCACAGGAGGGGTTTACATCTGTCCATCAACTAGAGGAAAGGAGGATCTATCACTCACTGCCCGCTGCACACTGCCCGCTGCACACTGCACACTCCACACTGCCTGCTGCCCACTGGCTGCTGCCAACTGCCAACTGCCCGCCCGCAGGCTGGAACATCCCGTATGAGTTCAACGAGTCTGACCTGAGGATCAGCATACGGCAGGTGCAGATGTTCCTTAACGAATACAAGGAGGTGCCCTTCGACGCCCTCACCTACCTCACAGGTATCTGCTCTCCGCCTGACACGTATCTGCTCTCCGCCTGACACGTATCTGCTCTCCCACTGACACGTATCTGCTCTCCCACTGACACGTATCTGCTCTCCCACTGACACGTATCTGCTCTCCCACTGACACGTATCTGCTCTCCCACTGACAGGTACTCTGTGCTCTCCTACTGACAGGTACTCTGTGCTCTCCTACTGACAGGTAGTCTGTGCTCCTACCTGACAGGTACTCTGTGCTCTCCTACCTGAAAGGTACTCTGTGCTCTCCTACCTGACAGGTACTCTGTGCTCTCCTACCTGAAAGGTACTCTGTGCTCTCCTACCTGACAGGTACTCTGTGCTCTCCTACCTGAAAGGTACTCTGTGCTCTCCTACCTGACAGGTACTCTGTGCTCTCCTACCTAAAAGGTACTCTGTGCTCACCTACCTGACAGGTACTCTGTGCTCTCCTACTGACAGGTACTCTGTGCTCTCCTACCTAAAAGGTACTCTGTGCTCACCTACCTGACAGGTACTCTGTGCTCTCCTACTGACAGGTACTCTGTGCTCTCCTACTGACAGGTACTCTGTGCTCTCCTACCTAAAAGGTACTCTGTGCTCACCTACCTGACAGGTACTCTGTGCTCTCCTACTGACAGGTACTCTGTGCTCTCCTACTGACAGGTACTCTGTGCTCTCCTACCTGAAAGGTACTCTGTGCTCCTACCTGACAGGTACTCTTGTGCTCACCTACCTGACAGGTACTCTATGCTCTCCTACCTGACAGGTACTCTTGTGCTCACCTACCTGACAGGTACTCTATGCTCTCCTACCTGACAGGTACTCTTGTGCTCACCTACCTGACAGGTAGTCTGTGACAGCTGGAGTTAGTCTGGGTGACAGCTAGAGTTAGTCTGGATGACATCTGGAATTGGGTTGGGTGACAGCTGGAGTTAGTCTGGGTGACAGCTGGAGTTAGGCTGGGTGACAGCTGGAATTCAGTTGGGTGACAGCTGGAGTTAGGCTGGGTGACAGCTGGAATTGGGCTGGGTGACATCTGGAATTGGGCTGGGTGACAGCTGGAATTGGGCTGGGTGACATCTGGAGTTCGACTGGGTGACAGCTGGAATTGGGCTGGATGACAACTGGCGTTAGAATGGGTGACAGCTGGAGTTAGGCTGGGTGACAGCTGGAATTGGGCTGGGTGACAGCTGGAATTGGGCTGGGTGACAGCTGGAGTTAGGCTGGGTGACAGCTGGAATTGAGCTGGGTGACAGCTGGAGTTAGATTGGGTGACAGCTGGAACCAGGGGGACCAGCCCCGTGCTCCGCTTCCTTCCCGGTGCCTCCCCAGCCTGGTGCGATGGGCTCACTGCTCTCTCGGCTTCCTGACAGCGGGAAGCCGCTCATATGTGGCAGAGGCTGGAACCCAGGGCTGCCTCATGCCAGACCTCTTGACCGGAACCACATTTCTATAGTGTCTGCCACATGTATGTACACACACAAACACGCGTGCACACACACATATAGAAGATGCCTAGATGCTGCTCATTGCCTGTGGAGCCACCACTGGTGATTGCATTGCTTGGCTTCGGTTGAGCTGTTTGCCACCTAACGTGGCAGCCTGGGTCTTTCTGAGCAGCCGAAACAGCAAGCAGGTCTGCTCTCCTCCCAGCTGTCAGCCCTGGTCTCCGCCGGCTCCTGGGCTCGCTCACAGAATCCTCGGCTTTGGCTGGTAACTGAGCTCACGGTGCCCTGCCTGGGCTCAGCCTTCCCCTCTGCTTGTCTCCAGGGGAGTGTAACTACGGAGGCCGAGTGACCGACGACAAAGACAGGCGTCTCCTGCTGTCCCTGCTGTCCACCTTCTACTGCAAGGACATAGAGCGGGACTACTACTCCGTCGCTCCCGGGGACATTTACTACATCCCCCCCCATGGCTCCTACCAGGTGAGGTGGGGCCTGCTCCTGGGCGGGCTGCCGTGCAGCCAGTGAGGGCCCGGGGTCGCCTTGAGCCTCCTGCTTTGGTCCCTAAGCTATTCCCAATACGTGGAGGGGTTTCTCTCTTTTCCGCGTCCAACATGGAAAATGAGCGGGTCCAACTGCTGAGTGGAGAAGCTGGGGATTAAGAAATAAAAGAAAGAAAGAGACAAGGCGCAGAAATAGAAGCAAGATGGGAGCCAGGTGGGAGACCACTCTCTCTGACGGAGAGGCAGCACATTTATTTCATACCCCAATACCAGGAAGTAACACCAAAACTTAGGTTCAAAGGAGCTTATTTGCATTCTTAACTAGGCCCTAGCATTACTGGATTTACATATCTAGACCCGCCCCTGCTGACACCTGGACAGAGGTAAGAAGTCAGAACTGAGTAACCCCCGCCTCGGGCTCAGCTGACAACACTAAAGAATGTCCATGTGCCTTCCCAGGCGCCCTCTACACCATATTCCCAAAAGCCGGAGACAGGCACCTCACTGTATAGGGATGCTGAGTGCATGGTGGGCCAGGTCTCTCACAGGAGGGATTCCCGGGGAAGAGGGGCGTTAAGGGGAAGCCTTGGCGGCCAACAACCTAGCAATTGATTCTTGGTAAAAAAGGTTCAGAAGGTGGTGAAAGGGGAGGGGCCAGAACTAGACAGAGGATGAGGAAGGAGCAGAGAAACAAGACGTGGAGGGGGGTGAGAAGGCGTCTCTGTGCCCGCTGGGTCCCCACGTGTCCCTCACGGCCCCCGCCTCCCCTGGGCAGCGGGGGGAGCGGACTCTGGGCCCAGCGCGGAGTGCGAGTGGGTCAGGGCTGGTCCAAGCCCTGTCCTGGGCTGGCCGAGCCCTGAGGGACTGTGGGCCCAGGAGCCCACGCGTGTGTCACCGGAGCTTTCTCTCCAGTCCTACATAGAGTACCTGCGGAACCTCCCCATCTCCGCTCACCCCGAGGTGTTCGGCCTCCACGAGAACGCCGACATCACCAAGGACAACCAGGAGACCAACCAGCTGTTCCAGGGGGTGCTGCTGACACTGCCCCGGCAGACGGGCGCCAGCGGCAAGTCTCCCCAGGTAACCGGCCCGAGTTCATCCCCGGCGCGGTCCCCTGGCACAGCCTGGGAGGGATGAGCAAGGGGGCAGAAAGGTGGGGCCTGGCAGGGGCACAGCCTGGCAGGGGCACAGGTGCCCTGTCTTGCTGCCGAGAGTCCGAGGACACAGAAAGCACCAGTGTGTCCAACATCGGCTGTAGGATGTAGGAGTCACTGCTGTACCCACAGGGCCTGTACTCCCTTCACAAAATATTTAAAACCCAGCTCTACTTGCCTAAAAAGTGTTTATTCAAAACCTGCAGGCCCGCCCCATTGATGACCCCCTCCTGGGAGAGCCGTGGCAGCCACGGAACAGCAGAGGGCAGCCCCCAGCCGCAGCCTCTTCGGGGGGGGGGGGGGGGGGGGCATGCGGCCAGCACCGCTGCCATGAGGGGTGGGGGGAGAGGGCGGCGGTGAGGAGAGGAGGGCGGCAGAGGAGTGCCTTTTTCCCCTGGGACCAGCCTGCTTGGCCTCGTGTGCTGGAGGCACCTGGGCTCCTGGGGGCCTCTCGGGGTCAGGCCCATCCTCCATCTACAGACCGGTGGCAAGGCCGCTGCTCTGACCTCCCCGGAGCCTCTGGCCCTGGCCCCAGAGGCTGAGGCTGTCCGGGCAGAGGGTGTGAAAGGCCGGGCTACGGGGCCTCCCGGGGCAGCCGGGTCTGCAGCTTCAGGCTGGCGGGCTCCGCCCGGTTCCCTCCGGAGGTGAGAATGGGCCTCTTCGCTCAGCTCAGCCCGTGGCTTTCTGGCCAAGGTGCCGTCTTCCCCACTGGTGTGGGGTCTCCCCACACCCACCCCTTTACCTGCAGGAACATTCCGGAAGTTCCGACGATGTTTACAAAGACCCCGGCCACGGCCGCCGGGCACGGCCGGCCCCAGGCCCTCGTCCTTACCCCGTGCTCTGCCCGGCAGGAGGTGATTGAGGAGCTGACCCAGGACATACTCTCCAAGCTCCCCAAGGACTTCGACCTGGAGGTGGTCATGAAGCTGTACCCCGTGGTCTACGAGGAGTCCATGAACACTGTCCTGCGGCAGGAGCTCTTCCGGTTCAACAGGTGGCCCTGGGGCGGCGGCGGGAGTGGGTGGCATCGGCGGTGACGGGGTGGGTGGCATCGGCGGCGGCAGGGGTGGGTGACATCGGCAGGAGGGGGGTGGTATTGGCAGTGACGGGGGTGGTATTGGCAGTAACGGGGGTGGGTGGCATCGGCGGTGACGGGGGTGGTATTGGCAGTAACGGGGGGGGGGTGGCATCGGCAGTGACGGGGTGGCACTGACAGGGTGCTCTGCAGCGGAGTGGTTTGTCCCGCCCACGTAAGGTTAGACAGGACCACTCCGACAAGCACTGGCCCAGATTAAGCCGTTCCTCCTGTTTGCTCCCTCTCTCACTCACTCGCTATCTGCTATCTGCAAAGCCAGGGCAGCGTGACGCCAATGCCACGCCCAAGCAGAAGCAGTCACTGCGCCGCCTGCCTTGTGCCTTGGTGCCAGGTCGGGCTCCAAGCACTCATACGCTCGCACCCGCCTCAGAGCAGTCGCTGGGAATAAGCAGTTAGCAGTCCTCACCACCGAGTCACCGGGAAAACCAGACCAGACGGTTAAGTAACTAGTGCCGGTCACACAGCATTCGGCGGAGGAGCTGAGTCCCAGCCCAGGCTGCCTGGCCGGGCCGGGCGCTCACCCACGCCTCTCCCTCCGCAGGCAGGGAGGGTGGCGCTGCCTGGGCGCGCCCCTGCTTCCCGGGCTGTAGAGAGCGCTGAGCCGGAGCGTCTTGATCGGGTTAGATCAGAGCTACCAGGTTCCCGAAGGCCACAGGCCGGACGAGGACCGCGCGCCTCAGGCTGTGGTGCTGCAGACCCAGGCGCGCTCCTCGTGTGCCCTGTCGTCCGGGCTCGGCTCCCGGCAGCCGGGACTCTGGGGCGTGGGGACCAGAAGGAGGTCATGTAAGGAGTTCCTGACTCCCAGCTTCAGGATCCCTCCCTGGAGTCAGTGAGCAGCTGGCTATCTGGGAAGCCGAGCGAAGTATGGGGTGTGAGCCAGGCAACACCGGGCAAGTCAGGGAACCCGGCCCAGGGGCTGTGGTGCCCACACGTCCCAACACCAGCCTGGCTCCCGTCCCCTGCCGGCCCGGCTGTCCGTGTCGCTTTCTCAGCCCTGGCTGTTGGCTGTGCTCAGACAAGCCAACGGGCCCCACAGCCTTGTTTGCCAAGGATGTCGGGACAGTCACACAGGACAGGACCCTCCTCACTGCCGTCACCAGCCTCCTGAGAAGCCCCAGATTGACGGGGCTCCAATTCCGAGGAGCCGTGGCTGTCTTCCGGGTGGTGTCCTCTCCTCGGGGCTGAGACCTCGGAGCCAGCGGCGCCCACTTGCGAGAGCAGAGGGAGAGCTTGGCGAGCAGGGCTCCAGCGCCACGGCTTGGGGCTGGGCGCTGGCCTGGGCCCCTCAGCAAAGCAAGGAGAACTCTTGGCCTTCCGTTTCCCACTGTGGACGCCTCCGCCCTCACTCTGCCCTGGCACCCGTCTGGCTGGGGGCCTGAGAGAGACCGCTCTGGGGCAGGCTCCCGGGCCGGAGGCGAGGCCTGGGCACAGGGCCCGGGGGCTGTGCAGGCGGCATCTCCGGCTGCCCTGCCTTTTCTTGGGGCGTTTCAGCGTCTGCTAAAAAGAACAGCTTGGGTCAAAATAGCAACTTAGATAAAAACCCTTAACATTACACTGCCCTTTGACCTGAACTTCTTACTGTTAGTGAGCAAATCACTAAATAATATCTGCACAGAGATTGATGTCGATGGCTATTCCTAGCATTGTTGTTTGCAGAGACAATAACGTAGAAATAAGTTTCAGCAATAAAAGGATAGTTAAATAAAATGGAACACCTTACAGTCATTACAAAGGATAAATATTGCAAGTTGGGGGGGGGAAAGGTCCATATGCTAAGAGAGAAAAACAGATTGCAAAAAAAGCAATCTAGCACAATTACTTTAAAAAGAATTTGTTTACAAACAGAAAAATCTAGAAAGATACATGTGCATCAAGCTATTTCCAGTGATTAATTTTCCTCGGCTCCAGCATCTTCTGCCGTGAACATGCGCACGCGCACACACACACACAGTTCGCTGTGAACATGCACGTGTGAACACACACACACACATACACACACACACACGGTCTGCTGTGAGCATACACACTGTCCACCATGAAGACACACATGAAGACACATATGTGTGTGTGTGTGTGTGTCCACCGTGAACACACACACACACACACACACTGTCTGCCGTGAACACACACACACACACACACTGTCTGCCGTGAACACACACACACACACACACACACACACACATGGTCCGCCGTGAACACGCACACACACACACGCACATGCACACGGTCCGCCATGAACACACACACACACACACACATACACACACGGTCCGCCGTGAACACACACACACACACACACACACACGCGCGCGCGCACAGTCCCCCGTCTCCCAGGGAAGGCGGAGCCGGAGTGCATGTCCGGCAGAGCCAGCGGCTGAGCTCGCCGTGTCCCGCAGGCTCACCCGAGTGGTCCGCCGGAGCCTCATCAGCCTGGTCCGCGCCATCAAGGGGCAGGTGCTCATGTCCTCGGAGCTGGAGGACGTCTTCAGCAGCATGCTCGTGGGCAAGGTGCCCGCCATGTGGATGGCCAGGTCCTACCCGTCGCTGAAGCCGCTGGGCGGCTACGTGGCCGACCTGCTGGCCCGCCTCGCCTTCTTCCAGGTGCCTGGGGGCCCCCACACTCAGGGGCCGGATGTGCGGAGGGAATGGAGGGGAAGGGGGGGAAGCAGCTCCCCAGGTGGAGGCGGAGGGAGGGAGAGTCCTCGGAAAGGCTGGCGCCTGCAGAGGGCCCCGCAGGAGCCATCATAAATGTCAGACTGCCAGCTCGGGGACCAGGTTTGGCTAAAAGATGTGTTTGTTGGCTCCTGACCATTTAAAATTCTCGAGCTAGCCTGTAAACACTGGATTATTAGACATCAAAAGCCAGATGTTCGTCCTGCAGGGCTGGGCCGATGGCTGCGTGGCCACTCGCTGCAGGGCCTGGCTCGCCCAGCCGGCCCAGGTGCCCGTGCTTCTGCAGTGCAGGCAGGAATGGCTTCTCTGTGCCTCGTGTGAGGGCAGACAGAGCCCGCCTGGCAGCCTGCTCCACGGCCGGAGAACGGCCGTCCGCGGCCCCCGCGCCGGGGCTGGCGCGGACGCGCTCCGTGCCCCCGCGCCGGGGCTGGCGTGGACGCGCTCTGTCTGTGTGGCCCAGGACTGGATTGCCAGTGGGCCGCCCACCGTCTTCTGGATCTCCGGCTTCTACTTCACGCAGTCCTTCCTGACGGGCGTCTCCCAGAACTACGCGCGCAAGTACACCATCCCCATCGACCACATCGGGTTCGAGTTCGAGGTAGGAGCTTCGGGGGCCCGGGGCCATCCGGGCGGTGCCGCGCCTCCTCACCGGCCGGCCCTCCGTGTGCGTGGGAGGCACACAAGTGAAATCCTTGGCAGGAACTGGAGCGGTCCCAGGTCACTCCTGCCAGAACCAGGCATTCCCAAGGCCATGTGTCTGTGTTCGTAGAAGGGGTCTATCTTGTCACAGGAAGGGTCTGCCACCTTTACACCAAGAAAAACACAGGCTCTCCGTTGGGAGAGGTGTTCACGGCGGGGCCTGGCTTGGGCCGCTAAAGGAATTGTCGGCGGTGGAGGACCACCCTGGCATGCTCTGGAGAGGGAGGAGCAGAGGGGTGGTGGGTTGTAGAGTTTTAAATTCTGTGGAAAGATTGATTGAGACATCTAGTTCAGACTTCACAAACTGGTTGCCCTGGGCTCAATTTTGTTTGTGAATATACTTAACTCTGAAGACAATGTTAATCCAAAATTAATGCACTAAACAAATAATAACTGGGATAAACATTAGAAAAAATATAAAATTACAGATTTTTAAATAATGTTTTCCTTTCTTTAAGTTTTATTTTTTATCGGTTTTTTACAGAGCGGAAGGGAGATAGAGTGCTAGAAATATCGATCAGCTGCCTCCTGCACACCCTCCACTGGGGATATGCCCACAACCAAAGTCCATGCCCCTGAATGGAATTGAACTGGGACCCTTCAGTCTGCAGGCCCACTGAACCAGCCAGGGCTAACATCACATTTTTTTGATGCTGAAATGACTGTATATCTAAGAGACCCTAAAATCATATATGTAAGAATAAGGGAATTTGTAAGGTGACTGGTTAAATATATGAAAATCAATATCCTTTCCTCTTCTAGAAATGAGTACTTAGAAGTAAAAACGGGATAAACATTCCATTGACAACAACAAAGCGATTATAATCTGGGGGATTTCAGAGTGGAGCTGTGCTCTGTGTCTTACCCTAACCCACCCCTCCCTGCTCTCCTACCTGAGCCACTTTCCGTGTTTACTGGGAGGCAGTAGAGCTCACTACTTCGGAGTCTCATTGTGGTGGATACCTGGCCACGTAGCTCAGTTGGTAGGGCATTGTTCCAACACACCAAGGTTGCAGGTTCCATCCCGGTCAGGGCATGTGCAGGAATCAACCGATAAGTTGCACAAATAAGTGGAACAACAAAAAGGGATCTCTCTCTCTCTCTCTCTCTCTCTCTCTCTCTCTCTCTCTCTCTCTCTCTCTCCCTTCCCGTCTCTCTCTAAAATCAATCAATAAAAGTAAATAACTTGTGGTGAATAGAGCTGGCTCATACCACCCCCAGAGCAGGTGGAAGTGATGGGTAAGCAGGTGGTGGCCTGCATTGGCCATGTGGGAGTCTGTAGACCACAGAAGCCACAGAAATGGAGCCAGACTACAAGCCACGGCTCTCCTCTTCCCCAGGCAACGGTCTGGCCTGCCCTCACTGCATAGATCCGGGTTCAAAAGGGCCACAGCCAGCTCCACTGACGGTGGCCCACACAGAGGGGCATGGCGTGGACAGCCAGCCATTTCCTCACAGATGCCGGCGTCCGTCCCGGGGGTGCATGCGGGACAGGGGACGTCATCCAGGCTGTGCGTTCCCCGCGGCGGCCCGGGACTCACCGCCCTCTCTCCCAGGTGACCACGCAGGAGGCCGCCATGGAGAGCAGCCCGGAGGATGGGGCCTACATCAAAGGGCTCTTCCTGGAAGGTGCTTGCTGGGACAGGAGCACGATGCAGATCGAGGAGTCTCTCCCCAAGATCCTCTATGACCCCCTGCCCATCATCTGGCTGAAGCCCGGGCGGAGTGCGGCGTTCCTGCACCAGGACATCTACGAGTGTCCCGTGTACAAGACGAGCGCCCGCAGGGGCGTCCTGTCCACCACGGGCCACTCCACCAACTACGTGCTCTCCATCGAGCTGCCCTCGGACCGGCCGCAGAAGCACTGGATAAACCGCGGGGTGGCCTCCCTGTGCCAGCTGGACAGCTGAGCCTCTGCCGGACCCCGAAATAAAGGCACGCGTTCGCCGCTGCGTCTGCTGCTCCTTTCGGGGGAGGGTGGGCGTCACGAGGGCAGCGGGGAAGCTCGCTGGCACCACGCCTGCTCTGAGCAGCTGAGGGCAGCCCTTGGAGCAGGTTATGGGATCCTCGTCCTGTGGCTAAGAAATCATGCTACAGGGAGGTTAGTAAGAGCCCCCGACCCCGCAGCTGCTGAGCCAGGCCGCCTCCCCTGGGCCGTGAGCCCTGTGGCTGAGCAGCCCGGGACTGTCCCCGGTTCTTTGCTGTAACTGACGCTGCATGTCAACTGCGTCTTTCCTAGTCTGTCTCCAAGGCTGACATCGGGGCCTCTCGGAGGTGGAAAGAGGCTGGACTTGCTTTTTAAGGTTCATGGGAGGCTTAAAATGCACTCTCACACCCCCTTCGGGTGGTAGGTATGGCCCTGTCTCCACTTGCAAGCGAAGGCTTGGGAAGCAGCCCAGCGTTTCGCAGCTGGTGTGTGGCGGCCCTGGGGGTGCTGGCCTGCACAGATGGGCTGGAACTTCAGGAAGAAAGGAGAGGTGAGAGGAACAATAGCCGTGATCGGAAGGCCTTCAGATGCCTTGCCTGATCCAGGCTGGGAGACCGAGTAACTGGCCCTAGCCCTCCCAGCCTTGGCTGCGGCCCGGCTATATACCCCGTGCATTTTTCACAGCGCGCTGCCCCTGCTGAGGGCTCCACAACGTGATGTGGAACCGGAGGGAGATTAGCTGCAGCCATGTCCAGGAAATGTCCTGTTCCTGAGGGCCCAGAAGAGAACCCTGAGGGAGATAAAAAGTCCTCAGAGTATCACGTCTCAGCCAGCTCTCCCACAAAGTGCACCGGTTCTGGGTGGCTCTTTTTGGGCAGCCCACTGATCTGAGCAAGACGCGGGCTGTGCAGGAGACAGTGTCTGCCCGCTGCTCGGCTCCGCCAGAAGGAAGGCTGCCTCGGACCTTTGATTCCTGCTGATCACAGGAAGCTTCTGAGAGCAAACTCATTTCAAAACCTTGTTTCTTCCTGGGGACGTGGGGCTGACCGAGTGCTAAGTTCAGGCCTCTGGATTGGGAGACCCCAAACCAGCTGAGTGACCCCGGAGAGGGGAAGGGCCTGTGGGGAGTGCTGATCTGGCCAGAGCAATGGAGACGGGAGGGGCTCAAGGCAGGTGGGAAAGAAAGTCAGAAAGAGCTGGAGCTGCCTCACTGTCCCACGTGAGATTGTTAGTCCTGAGATGGAATCCACGAACCTTGCACTGGTCAGGTAAGTCACATCACAAGTACAAGGCATGAGGGGGTTGTTAAGAAACAACTGCATTTTAGTTATAGTTGTCTAACTCCGTCTTTATCAACAAAAGCTGTGGAGGCAGGTGCTGGGGGCTAAGTCCAGCAGGACACAGTAAATGGGAGAAGTCCTCAAAAGGTGGAATGGACATTTTCAGCAGGGCTGAAAATCTGCACTATCACCTGCTGCTGGAACAGCCAAAGGCAATTCCTTACCCTGTTTACCAAACCTTACCTTTGATATGTGTATCTGCTTTGCTAAAGGCAAAATGTCTGAATCAAGGGCCCTGGGTCCGGAGATTGAGCTAAGCCTCCCTGGCTCCCCCCAAATTTATATTTCTTGTCAAGTCTCTCTCAAATCACTTACCTGCAGCCCCTTCTCCCAATTCCTGAACCTTAATGTGCTAAGACCCCAGCAGGCAGGGACTGGCCATTTCATTCCTCAGGGGTCAGTGGGCGGAATGTTTCTGTATAATGGATTACGTTTTTATAACTTAAAGCGTTTCCTCCATTTTGAAGAGAAAGATTGCCCGGAGCCATGGACAACTCTCCATGGAAGAGCAGCCTGTTCTGAGGCTGGTACCCTGGAGCCCAGCTCCTGGGGCAGAGGTGCCAGGGGTGAGCCCGGCCAATGTGGCAGCCTGCCTCCCAATGGCTCAGCAGGTGGCCGCAGACAAACCTTGTCACCAAGCTCCTTTGCTCTTTAGAAATCTGGTGTTGGGCGGTTTTCGTGTGAGTGCGGGAAGGAAATTTCATTGAGAGAAGGGATATAGGAAGATAGCTTCTGCTTTAAAAGACCAAAACATGGAGACCTTATTGTCTTGGAGAGAAAAGGAAAAAAAGAATATGCATCTTTGCAAAGCAGAGTAGGCATATAAAATTCACTTTTAGGTAAGATTCTTGGCACAGAAGAAACTCCGAGGCAAGTTAGCAACCAGGTGGACTTCCATCCTGGAGGAGGCTGGGTGGGGAAGGTGGTCTCTACACTCAACAGAGCAGGACAAAATCTGCGGTCACCTTGAGCTGCCGAGACTGCGGAGGAGGCAGGAAGCCGTGGCCACTCGGCCCTCCAAGAACAGGTCACCGTCTCATCAGCTGGCTGAGCGCACAGGCCATGTTGAATGAGAGGCATTTAACTGTTAGAAGCTCTTCCAGGCAGGGAGACGCTTCCACAGTGAGACAAGATGGAAGGGTAGTGACTGGTGGGACGGCAGACTCATGTCTCCCAGTTCAGGCAAGGCTGGGTGCGTCCTCAACCAAATGGCCCACACCTGCCAGCAGGCAGTCTTCTCTCCCACAAAGGCCAGAGCTGCAATGGTTATCTGCACGCTGCTCCTTGCCAGGCAGCGTGAAACAGGGTGATGTTGCATTCTGCAGTTATAGCTCCAGACACTGTCACGGCCAAACGCTGCAGCACTTACCGAGCAGAGGAAACGCCTGCTCCGGGAACGGGGCAGAACGCCTTTGAAATGAGAGGGTCTGTGACCGGGGTGTGGACAGGAAGTTCTCACCTGCTGCTTCTGTGGCCTCGCACACATGGAAGTGTGAATCCTTCGTTTAAGCTCTCCTTGTTGCATTTCTGTTTAGACGGAACTTGAAAGCCAGCTTTGCCCTTGCATATTCTAATTAAGGCAAAATACTTGCAACGACGCAGTAGGAGTTTCAAGCGAGCCCCAGTCCCAAGTCCATGCTTGGAGATGAAGTAGCCGATGCTTTCCCAGAGGCAGTGCTGCCCGGCATTGTGTGGAGGAGCCGGGCGGGGTCTCAGCATGTCCCGGGAAACTGAGGAACCCATGGTGCACTCTCTAAGGGGTGTTTGTCTGGGATTGGGAGGGTCTAAAGATGACATCACACACACAAAAAGCCCACTTTTAAATAAGGACTTTATTTTTAGAGAGAGGAAGGGAGTGGGGGAGAAGGAAATATCAGCATGAGAGCAAAAACTGGGGAATCGAGCCCGCAACCCGGACAGTGTCGGCAAACTTTGGGTGCACAGGGCCACACCAATCTGGCCGGAGGGAGAGCCCACCTGTAAGCAAATCTGTAATTACAAAGCAAGCCTACACCATCCCGAGGCGGGAGACTGCCTGCGAGCGGCCATGAGAAACCAGACACTGCCCTGCACCAGCCTGCAGGCCCAGCCAGCACTTTCCCAGCAGCTTCGCCGATTCCCAGGCTTCCTCCCTCGGGGGGCCTGCGGTCTGCGGCCGCCAGGATCAGTGCATCAGTGCAGCAGGCCCTGACCACTGTGAGCTCTCAGCATGCAATCAGCATCAATGTTCAGGAGGCTTTAAAGAAGATAACTGAATTTTTGCCCCAACCAAGCAGAAAGGTCTTGCGTCTGGTTTACATTCAAGGCCTGGCTGGCTCACCATGTGAGAAATAAGCTTTCCCTGCATTAGGAAACCTCATCGTGGGACTTGAGGTACACTGGCTTGGAAAGCTTCCTCAGCTTCTCCTGGTTTCGAAGTCCCCGGCCTCGTCGTGAGGTAAGGCCCATTGGAGGCAGATGAATCTGAGAAAGAAGAGTAAGAATAATATTAAGAATTATCACTGCAGCAGTTTATATTCACTGAGCATTTTCTAAATACCATGCTGTCTGCTCAGCACTACATCTACAGGCATTCATTAATCCTCACAACCATCTTGGGGAATTATATCTGCACTTACAGATGAGAAAATGAAGGCTCAGAAGTTACAATTTGCTCAGATTAGACATGAAGTGGGGGAACAAATCTGAACCCAGATGTGTCTGATGCCAGGGCTGGGCTCTTGTTTTGTTTTTTAAATATATTTTATTGATTTTTTTATAGAGAGGAAGAGAGAGGGAGAGTGTGTTAGAAATATCGATGAGAGAGAAACATCAATCAGCTGCCTCCTGCACACTCCCTACTGGAGATGTGCCCGCAACCAAGGTACATGCCCTTGATCAGAATCAAACCTGGGACCCTTCTATCCACTGAGCCAAACTGGTTAGGGCAGAGCTGGGCTCTTGTTGACATGTTGCCTGCATGGAGGGAAAAGTCACAAACCACACAGTGAAATGAAAATGCAAAGGTGAGGGAAAGCATGTACACCACGGTTTGTGCAAACTGGGACTAGCCGCAACATCTCCCGGAAGGGTCATGCTCACAAAGGATGCAAGGCAACCTGCAAACAGAGGCAGCCACGCCCGAAGCCAGGGAGTGGCGGAGGCAGGCAATAAGCAGCACATCCAGGGCTCATGTAGCTTAAGAAAATGTTTGTACATGAGTGTGGAAAAAAGACTACAAGGATATGTTACCAAACTATTACATTGAGCCAATATAACATAAATTAAATATTGGTAATTTAAAGATTTAAAAATTATCTATCTATACTAATAAAAGTGTAATATGCTAATTAGACCAGACATCTTCCGGACATCCATCCAGACATCCTTCTGGACAAAGCCTCGGTGGCAGGGGCCAAGGCAAAGGCAGTTAGAGGCGATCAGGCAGGCAGGGGAGCAGTTAGGGGCATCATGCAGGCAGACAGGGGAGCGATCAGGACGATCAGACAGGCAGGCAGGTGAGTGGTTAGGAGCCAGTGGTCCCAGATTCCAAGAGGGATGTCCGACTGCCAGTTATCTCCCCAGAGATCCTAGATTGGATAGGGTGCAGGCTGGGCTGAAGGTACGCCCCCCCCAGCTTCATGCATGAATTTTGTGCACTGGGCCTCTATGTGTGTGTGTGTGTGTGTGTGTGTGTGTGTGTGTGTGTGTGTATAAAAAAAGCAATATATATATATGCCTAAGTAACCATTATGACAGAAGACTGGTTCTCCAGTTGCTATGATGCGCACTGACCACCAGGGGGCAGACGTTCAAGGCAGGAACTGGCCCCTGGTAGTCAGTGCACTCCCACAGGCCTTCCCGGATCAGACCTAAACCGGCAGCTGGACATGCCTCTCGCAATCCGGGACCCCTCGGGGGCCTAAACTGGTCACTGGACTTCTCACGAGGGGTCCCAGATTGCAAGAGGGTGCAGGCCGGGCTGAGGGACACCCCGTCCCCTACCCCCTGTGCCAAGTGCACAAATTTAATGCACTGGGTCTCTAGTTTAATATGAAATTTACTATGTATTAAACTTATAGTCTCCCTCTTTCCCCTGTCCCCCAGTTCCCCTCCCAAAAAAACACTACCAGCAGTTTTTTGTAGGCCAAGGGTAGAAAATGGATAGTTTCATATGGTCAACCCACTAGTTACAGGAGTGAGTCACTTCCACAGGGTGCAAATTTTTGACAAATTTCACTTTCTATCTTATGCATGCCTTTAATGTTTGAACTTTATTCTTTTATTAACAACAAACCTAATATAAGAAGAAAATATTTCCATAAAAATGTGAAAAGCAAAAGAGAGCACTATGTAACTGCGAGCTGACTTTAACGTAGGAGATAGGCTTCTTTGGCGTCTGGGTTGGTCATGACCGGCTGATGGCAGGCAAGGACAGCTGCTTCCAACATGCCTCCTACAGTAGCTCTAGCTTCTAGACAAACACAAGGCAAAGGAGCACCCACCACTGTTTACTGGGTCACACTTACTGGCCTTGGATACGGGATCTGGTAGTGCAGTCCGATCTCGATCCTAGCTGTGCATTCATCTATACACTGCTTAATTTGGTCTGTGTCTGTGAGCTGGTGAAAGACGAAACAGGCATTTTTCTAAATGTCACACAGAATATAGGTACACATTTTCTGAAACTCTTTTGATTTACCATTCAGTAAATTAAATATTGATAATTCAAAAATTCAAAAGCAATCTGTAATATAATATATATAAAAGCCTAAGCAACCCTTATAACCAGTAGGTAGCTGTGATGCACACTGACCACCAAGGGGAAGATGCTCAATGAAGGAGCTGCCCCCTGGTGGTCAGTGCACTCCCACAGCCAACTTCCTAAGGCTGGCCAACCTCCTGAGGTCCCTCCCTGTGGCCAGCCAGCCCCCAGCGCCCCTGGGGGTGGCCAGTCTCCTGGCCCCAATCAGCCTGATTGGAACTAGGCGAAATGGGCCCCAATCGCCAGCCAGGCCAAGGAACTCCACCTGTGCACGAATTTGTGCACTGGGCCTCTAGTTTAATATAAAATTTGCTGTGGGCTTAATTTATAAAATGAAGTCTCCCTCTTACCCATCTCCCAGTTCCCCTCTCAAGAATAACAATTACAAGCAGTTTTTTTGTTTTCCTAGTGTATTTTCTGCATATATAAGCATACATGTATACATGTAGGTTTTTTCTTTGCTTTTATTATATTTTTTAAAATTGGACATTATTGTAGAAGTCCTCCCTTCCTCTCCCCCTTTGCCCACCTGAACCCTCCCTTTTCCTTGGCTTACTAAATTATTGTCTGTGCCATGGGGTATGCATACATTTTTTGTGGGGTTTTTTTGAGAGGGGAAGAGAGAGGGAGAGCGGGATGGAAACATCAGTGATGAGTATCATTGATCACTGCCTCCTGCAGGCTCCCTGCTGGGGATGGAGCTCCATCTGGCATTGCCCTGGCTGGGACCGAACCATGACCACCTGGTTCAAAAGTCAATTCTCAACCTGAGCCACACCAGCTGGGCTGCACATGTGTTCTTCAGCTAATCCCTTCACCTTCTTAATCTAGTCATCCCCGCCTTCTCCCCTCGGGCACCAGCCAGTCTGTTCCATGTATTCATGTTTCTGGTTCCATCTTGTCCTTCAGTTTATTTTGTCCATTAGATTCTACAAATGAGTGAGTTCATATGGTACTTGTCTTTCGCTGACTGGCTTATTTCACTTAGCATAATGCTCTCCAAGTCCATCCATGCTGTTACAAAGGGTAAGAGAGCCTCTTTTTTACAGCTGTAAATGTACTATAGCTATTTTATCCACTCAACATTTTTTTCTTACACAAATGATAGCTCACTTTATTCTGAACCTTGCTTTTTCTATGAATAAACTGAAACTCCTCCTATATTTATGCATATAAAACTGCCCCATTCTTTTTTTTAAAAAAATATATTTTTATTGATTTCAGAGAGGGAGAGATAGAAACATAAATAATGAGAATCTGATCGGCTGCTTACTGCATGCCCTTTATTAGGGATTGAGCCCACAACTCCAGCATGTGCCCTTGACTGGAATTGAATCTGAGACCTTTAGTCCACAGGCTGATGCTCCATCCACTGAGTGAAATGGCTGCTCCATTCTTGAATAGCTGTATCAAATTCCAATATAATTTAACCAATCTTCTACTGACGGACATTTAGGTGATCTCCCATCTTTGTCATTATAAACAAATAGGTTATGGATCCCTTTAGATTTTTTTGGCTCACATGCAAATATATCTAAAAGATAATTTCCTAGAGGAAGAATTATGGGTCAAAGGGTATATGTTCATGCATTTTTAATTCTCATAGATATACCCTCTAGATTCAAATACCCAGTGATTTTCAACCTTTCTCATCCCATGGCACAGAAACTAATTACTAAAATTCCGCAGCACACCAAAAAATATATTTTTTGGCAATCTGACAAAAAAAAAATAGGTATAGTGTTTTTTTGTTTGTTTGTTTTTTGTTTTGGATTTTCTCCATCTTTGTTGTTGGTGTTTGAGAAATCAAGTTCATGCGATTTAAGGAACAGCGTATGAGAGGTCACATTAAATCAACAACTCCCGCCACAACCACGATAAAGGGCCCAAAAAAGCAAACCCAGAGTGAGCAGACAGCATGGGCTCCCCACCCTGCCAACTGGCTTGCACCTTAATGTGACTTTTAAAAAAATCATCTTATAAATCAGACGTGACAGCCACATAGAAAACTGGCCAGAGACTGGAATGTGCCCTTCAGAGAGGACAGCCCTCTCCGGGTGAGAAGGCCCGGTGCCCCGGGGACACAGCTGTGGCTGAGCTCATCCTCACTGGACAGCTATCTTTCAGAGGCTGCCACCTACACTAACATGATGTCTTTTCCTTAGGCCCTGGCTGGTTTGGCTCAGAGGACAGAGTGTCAGCCTGCAGGTTCGATTCCAGTCAGGGCACAGGCCCAGGTTGTGGGCTTGATCCTCAGTGTGGGGCGTGCAGAAGGCAGCCACTCCAGGATTCTCTCTCATCACTGATGTTTCTATCTCTCTCGCTCCCCCTCTCCTTACTCTCTGACTTAAATAAAAGTTTTTTTAAAAAATAAAAAAACAAACTTTTCTTTAAATGGACTCTCCTAAGCATGGTAAGTGTGGAAGTGCCTGATACTCTCTTCTTCCTGTACACGGTAAAACAAGCACGTGTGTGAAGTGAAAAGCCCACAGCCCGCCCCCAACAGGCAAGTCTCCATGTGCCGCCGCCCACACACCAGCCCTTCAGGCAGAGGCGGCCAGGCTGCTGCTGTCGCTGAAAACCCAGGCTCAGCAGCTCGGCCGTTAAGGGCCTCGGCTGCGTGTGCGCCAGGGTGGCACGGCTGTGCACCGGGGCAGAGCGTGGGGGAGCTGAGGGCCACGTGGCCACGGGCTTGGGGTGTCCCGCAGGGGGTGGTGGAAGCCAGGCAGGGCTCCCATATGGGAGTGGCACCACCGGGAGCTGCCAGGCTGGGCATCGCGCACACACGGGCAGCAGGGGGCGCAGGCCGGAGGGAACCGGGGCGGGCGGAGCGGACAGGGAGTGAAGCTCCGGAGCCGCAGCAGCACGGACCGGGAGCCCCGGAGGCAGCAAGGTCGGAGCCGGAGCCGGCAGCCAGTCTCCTGAGCCCCCAAGACGCCCGAGGGCTCCCAGGAAGATGAAAACTTGGCCCTGGTGCCTGTCGGGGTGCCTGCCATCCCACGGGTGCCTGGGGCACTGTGAACCCACTTCTGTGAGCCCGTGAGACGAACTGGCTCTGCTGGCAGAGGCCAGAGTGCCTAGTTCTCTCCCCTCAGAGAGGGGTATGCTCGAGGCTTTGGTGGATTAGGAAATGAAACAAACACAAACACAAACACAACCTGTGCCTCCGTAGAGCGGCCACAACCGGCGAGGGGTGAAGGGCTGCCCCGGTGCGGAAGGGGAGGGGGAGGGGGAGGGGGAGAGGGAGTGGGAGGGGGAGAGGGAAAGGCCCCGGTGTGGAGAGGGAGAGGGAGAGGGAGAGGGAGAGGGAGAGGGAGAGGGAGAGGGAGAGGGAGAGGGAGAGGGAGAGGGAGAGGGAGAGGGAGAGGGAGGGGGAGAGGGAGAGGGAGGGGGAGAGGGAGAGGGAGAGGGAGAGGGAGGGGGAGAGGGAGAGGGAGGGGGAGAGGGAGAGGGAGGGGGAGAGGGAAGGGGAGGGGGAGAGGGAGAGGGAGGGGGAGAGGGAGGAGGGGAGGGAAGGGGAGGGGGAGAGGAAGAGGGAGGGGAGGGGAGAGGGGGGAGGGGGAGAGGGAGGGGGAGGGGAAGAGGGAGAGGGAGGGGACGAGGGAGAGGGAGGGGGAGAGGGAGAGGCCCCGGTGCGGGAGAGGCCCCGCAGCCCCCGCTTCGCCCGTGGCTGCTCAGCCCTCCGGCTTTCGGATAGACATGGACTAGCACAGGAAGCCGCTCTCCCTCCTGTGCCTCTGACGAGGCTACTCACGCCTTTGTTTTTCCGGAACAGTGTCCTGGCCTCTCGGAGGATGTCCTGCTGCTCCCGGGCGCTGTCCTCCGGCCGCCCCGACGCCGCCTGCCACCGCCGGGCCAGCCTGAGCACGCGGCGGTACAGGCCCAGCACGGCCGGCCTGGTGGCCGCGGCCATCCCGGCTCCCCGGGCTCCGGAGCCGAGAGGCACCTGAGGCCGCCGGGAACAGCACCTGCAGGAGGCGCGTTCGAGGTCAGCTCTGTAACGGGACAGACGCTTCCCAGGCTGCTGGGCGGCATCACCCAGTGTTTCCCACGACAGCCGCGCGCGCGCACGCACACACACACAGGGAGCCGAGCACACCTCCCGTCCTAGCTGCCAGAGTGCGGACGCGGCTCGGTGTGTGCACGGTGTGGTCTGCACTGCCCCGTGCCGGAGCGGGCAGTTCCCATGACCGGACCCCATGCAGGGCCAACTCAGCCTCCTCCAGGGCCAGCGCGGACACGCCCCCTTAGAAGGGAAGCGCTGCTTGGTCCGGCCAGTGGCTGCCAATAGCCAGAGGGCCTAGCAATGCCAGGTTTCCAGATAGCTTAACAGGTGGCTTCCAGACTTCAGAGGATGAAATCTCAAAAAAGACACGGATGCATCACTTTGGAAATGTGGGTATCACGAAGGCACGCAAACGGGGTCTGCAGGCTCGATGCTGCCTTTGTTCACCGTCACCTGCTGGGAAGGTTCCCCCGCTGTGGCCCACCTCCTCCCCAGCACTGTGCGTGCACAGAGTGAAAATCTGTGTGACTCTGAGACAACAATGTTTTCATGTGGAGAGAACCTGGCTTCCCCACCTAAACGCATTCCCCAAAGTAACTATCTTAAAAATTAAATTCCTGTGAATGTCCTGCAATATTCCAGATGTGCCAAACGACACAGAGAGCAGTATAATTACAGCCACAGTCACAATGAGCCTTAAAGGACAAGCTATAGCTGAGGACCCCCCGTCCCGCTTCCAAGTTCAGCTCCGGTTTGTCTCACCGTCTGTATAGCCAACACGACGACAGTCTTGCTTCACACGTTTGAGCACTGTATCTCCGTGGGCCTGCGAGAGGCCTGGCCTTCCTGTCACTTGCTTTTTTTGCCCATTTCTGTGAGGTAAGGCCCCTCATGCTGTTCCTTTAGCTCTAGTCCAGTGGTCGGCAAAGTTATTAGTCAACAGAGCCGAACATCAACAGTACGATTGACATTTCTTTGGAGAGCCTCATTTTTTAAATGTAAACTATATAGGCAGGTACATTGTTATTACCTTAATTAGGGCACTCCTAAGCGGGCCTTTGCTAAAAACTCAAGGGCCAAAGAGCACATGTGGCTCATGAGTCGCAGTCTGCCGACAACTGAGCTAGTTCATCCGTTCTCACTGCCCTTCAGTCCACCGTCTGAAGTCGCTCTTGTACACATTTCTGCTGCTGGGCGTTAGGTATTTTCTTCTTTTACTTGGGCAAAAACTTCAGCCTATTTCTCTGCTATTAATTTTAAATCAGGAAAGGCGGCCCACGCCTGGAGGACCCCATTAGGCAGACTTAGGGCATGGGCCCTGCCCGCCTCTCACGTGGAGGCCAAGAGGAGGACAGGTCGAGAGGAGCAGTGGCCAGGCCCGGGGCCTCCTTCCCAGGACCCTGGCTTTGCGGCCAGCTGTCAGGCCGGGCCGATGGAGTGCTGCAGCCCAGGTCTGAGGACTCGGCAGCTGGAGAACGGAGAAGGGAGCCGCCGGAGGTGTCAGCTGGAAAGGGCACGTGCTCACCAGGAAGACACCCTGCAGGGAGTCTCTCACCCATGACTGCCCGTCCCACCCAGCCCGGCGGTACCTTTCCTGAGAACGAAGGCTGAGCCAAGGCTAGCTGTTTGATGCAAAGTTTGAAAGCACGACTTCACCCAGTTCACAAGGGAATGGACCGAGGGAACGTCAGGGTTCTGACGTCCACGATGCTTCAGAGATTGCTTAGAAGGAGTAACAAAAACTGAGAAAGAACATCACACTCTGTGGCCAGGGTTAATGACAACCCAGGTGCGATGGTGGCGCTGTCCTGCTGAGGAAAGGGTCCCGAGTTCTAGGCTCTCCCTCAAATTCCTTGTTTCCCATGACCATCTGAGTCAGTTCCTGTGGGCGGGAGTCTGTCACCACAGCTGCTAAGACTGCCTCACCTCCGTCAAAGGGCCAGAGGCAGAGCCTGGCACGTTAATACAGCGTCCTGCTAGGTCTGATTTAACTGGTTTCCTCCTCTCCTCCAAAAACCTCAGCGACCGATCACGCACCAGTGCCTGACCCAGGAGCCTGTAATGAGGGCACCGCTGGTAACAGGCTGAGCAACTGGTACTTAGCAGGCCATTTCAAAACACTTTAACGTCTGAGTATTGGAGACCGATCCTGAAAGGGAGATGGTGACGTCTCCTCATCATCACTGGCACGGAAAGCCTGCCTGTTACTGGACTGAGGGGCTGTTTCCCTGCCCGCCTCATCGCTCAATCCGACAGGAACAGGAGTTTGCAGCAAAGGAAGGACAGGTTTACAGGCGAGGCCATGGTGCCTGGCCCTGTCACAGGCATGTTAATGCTAAGACCTGGCCTCCCTGGGGCTTCCAGGAAATGGGTTATAGGAAACAGCCATCCTGCTGGCTATAGGAGTGGGCGTGGCCCTCATTACCCATCAGGGCCTGTGTCTGGTTTCTGAGGGTGTGGCCCCTCCAGTCTCACTGTTTCAGGACCTGCGGCTAAAACCCATCTGAGGCCTAGGTGTTATCTTGAGCTCGACCAACACCCTGTGGTCAGCAGACCTCAGGCTTTATCCCTAGGACAGTTGGACACTGACTCTGGTGGCCTACTGGTTCAATTATTAAGGAAAGGAATGGATGGAGAACTCTTGGGGGGAGGGGGGGCGCAAGAAAAAAATGTGCCTGTTATTAGAATCTTCAGGGAACTCATTCTTTCTTATCTGAGGGTTACGTACCCTATCTGTTATTCTAGAAGGCTCTCTCCTGACCATTCCCATGTACCTTACCACCCCAGTCATCCTTTATTCTCCTTGAAAACATGGAGGTCTTGGATGATCTCTTCTCCTCCCCCTATGCCTTATCATATTAATATACACCAGATCAGGGCTCTCTGAAGAACTTGTATTTCTCCTTTGTAGCAGTGATCACTTAAGATGTCTGTCTTCCCCCAAAGACTCTAATCTCCATGGAGACAGTAACCACATCCATCACATTCACTGCTGACTGCTCAGCACCTGGTAAGGTGCAGACTGCTGGTCAACAGGGGACTGCTGAATAAACGAAAATCTCGTACTCTGGAAGCTTGTGATTCTAGAAACATCATCAGCCATATATAAAAGTTATTATCCTTTTATTTATATTTGTCTCTGTTCCTGGGAAGCAACTTGTTTAGAAAAGTATCTTTTCCCTAGGAATCTTCCTTCTATGGATTTAATGGCTAGAAACCAACATTTATTCCCCAAACCATCGCTGACCTCTCACGGATGCAGAACCGACAGCCCTTTTCCTTCCTCCCTAGTTTCAGGGGTTGATCTGTCTGCTAGGATTTTCCACAGGACATCAGAAATGCGAAACTGTTCAGAGGCCCACAACCGAACTGCCTTAAGTCTCTTCTTACATAATTTTTACGGAAAAAATTCTGTAACTTTCATTCTTATGATTGACTAGAGGCCTAGTGCATGAAATTGTGAACGGGTAGTCAGATCCCTAGGCCTGACCAGCGATCAGGCCGCTTGGGGCCTTCCTTCATTCAGCACCACCCCCTGGTAGTCAGCGCACGTCACAGCAATCAATGGATTCCTAGTCTCAGGTCAAACTCCTCAGGGGACTTTGCATATTAGCCTTTTATATAGATAGTAGATATTTCTTTAAACTCTGCTTAGTTTTTCCTCCTTAATCCCAAATCCCAGGATAAGAAAAAATAGGATATGAAGTGTGAGTGGGAGAAACTGTGACTGGAAAGGGGCCTATTTTCTTAAAATCAGTCCCAAGCTAATTAGTTACCAGCAGGCCAGGTGCAGCCAGTACTGTATGATGAGGATGAGGAGGCTGCCGCTGTACCAGCCGCAGTCGTAGCCGAAGCTTCCCCTACCGCAGGCAGCCCGGAGATTGGCTGGGAGGTGATTCTTGGTGAACAATAGAAATGTTTTCTCCTGCCCATGACTTAAAGTAATTTCATTTTGTAGTGATCCAGCTGCCTTTAAATGAATGCATTACAAAATATTCCAGCGTGTTTAATAAACAGGTCAACCACCGTACAAACTGTGACCGTGGGCCTGAGAGGGATTGGAAGCTGCTCCCGAGGCACCTGCTGCCCAGCCTACACGTTCCTTCTGCGGAGCCTCCACTCAGAATGGCTATGTGCCCCCCCCCCCCCCCCCCCGACTCCCAGGTGTCCTGAGCAGCGGTCACCAACCTTTCAGGCCCCACAGACTGTCAGGACCAGGAGCGCCTTCATGCAGCACACGCAGGCCCTGGCCTACCAGAGGACCGGAGCCGCTGCCCACTTCGCCCTTCCTGCTGTGGAAGGCCTCGCAGCATGAACACGGCACCAAGGGCAGAGATGCACATTCCCTTTTCCCGACAAACTGAGAGCATGACTCTGGTCTCGGGAATGTCAACATGCCCAACGCTGAACTCTCAGGAGGCTGTGCCTTCTTCTGAAGACAGTGTACAGACAAACCAAGGGCAGAAAAGCAAAGTTCCAGAACGACTCGCTTTTAGAACCTGCCCTTGGGGCATTTTCCTCGCCAGGACGAATGCAATCCAACTTCTCTCTCCGGTACTTCATGGCTTTGAGGCATCTTGGAAAGGTGATGCTGTGTGGGCTAGGTTTTCCCACGAAGGCCTGGTGCATTTAGAAACACGAACTCCCCCCCCCCAGTGCTGGTGCTGAGCCGCTGCGGGCTCCGTGCTCCAGGGGAGGAGCCTTGTCCGTCCCACGCAGGCGGTGTGAGAGGCAGGGCTGGAGGAAGCCTCCCTCAGTTCATTTCAGGCCCCTTAGGGTTCATCCACTGGACCAAAGCGGTGTACTTTGTTTCTATGAAACTTAGAACCAAACATACAAGGAAAATGGGGTTCTCAATACTTTTTTTTTTAAATAATTCTTTTGGGGAATAGGACTCATCACTCTCA